CAGCAGGTCTTCTTGACCCAGGAACTGAATCAGGGTCGCCTGCATTGCAGGCAGATTCTTCACCAGCTGAGCTACCAGGGAAGCCCCTTCACTTTTTGTCACAGTATGATATTCCAGGCTCATCTTGAATTTTCTCTGCTATACCCCTAGAATCAGTCAGTTTCTCAAGCAGCTTTGGCTCCTTTAGTAGAAATGGTATTTAGAAACCAACATAGGTAAGCACATTGCTATTGGGGTATTATTGCTTCTTGACCCTCACAGCATGTGTGCATACACAAACACACATATGTACACACATCTATATAGGTATTATATCTATACCCAGTTAGCTAGATAACTCTATAAAATTATGTGTTCATATTGATACCTGTAATTCTAGTCCAACAACACAAAATTTATCACATTGCCCCTTTATCATATGGTAACTGCCTTCTCTTGTCAGTGAGAAATTTGGCTCCCATTATATTCAACATGCTAATTTGCTCAGTTCTAGAACTCATAGACTATTGAAATGTTGTCATAACACTGGATAAAACAAACCAATGACCTAGAATTCATTACATCTCTAAGACTCTATTTGCCTTTAGTCTAAGCATGTATTGTCAACATACTGCATTCAAAAGTGAGCATTAGGGATTTCCCTGGTGGTCCAGTGAGAATCTGCCTGCCAACACAGGGTCATGGGTTCAACCCTTTGGTCCAAGAAGATTCCATGTGCTGCGGGGCAGGTCAGCCCATCCACCACAACTACTGAGCTTGAGTGCTGCAACTACTGAACCCATGAGCTCCAAGGCCCATTCTCTGCAACAAGAGAATCCCCTGCAGTGAGAAGCCCGCACAATAAAACTAGACAAAGTCCATGAGCAGCAACAAACACCTTAAATAAATTGCAGCCAAAAATACATATTTACTTTTTTTTTTTATGTGCATTAATTCTAATTTTTGTCTACAGAGTGGTTGTTATTCACTTGGCATTTTTTTGACAACTGATATGTTCACTGGTATTTATGTTCCATTTCAGTTTTTTCATCATTTTTTATCATGTGTGCTTGTGTACATAAAACATCAAAAGAGCTCAAAATTCAAAACTCATCCAAAAAGGTATACTCAGAAAAGCATCAAGACTTAAGAAAATAATTTCTCTTCATTTCCTTCCCTTCTATTTAAAACTGGGAGCCTGTGCCTCCCTGTAGTCTGTGCCTGCCTGCTTTCCACTCCCCAAGGACACACACATCTTAATGGAAAACTGCAAGATGATCTTTAGGATGTGGTATGTTTCTCCCAGCTTTGAACATGAGTCCATGTAGAAAAACATACTTGTTTGTTTCAGTTATTACCTTTGTTCAGTATATGATAACCATATATGTAAGCAATCTAAAAATATGGTTTCCTGTGAAAACACCATGACTGTGTGGTACCATCTTACTCTATAAAAGCAGTTTCCTTTATTGAGACAAAGCAACCTGGTTCTGTATTTATAAATACAAGACCAAAACAAAACATGGATCATTTCCTCTGTAAGAGACTGACTCCAGACCAGGAGCTCATTATCCAAACCCTCTGGCAGGTCCTCTCTAACCCCACTTCCTTGGCACATGCATCTGTCACCACTTCTGGCTCTTTCTGCAACAGTGACCAGCTGCCTCTAATTTCCTCACAGACTAGATGTTGCAGCGATGGTGATGAGAGCGAGTTGAGACTGACTTTTTTTATAGCAAGACTCCATCTGCAAAGGCTAAGATTTTCATTATTATATTTTGAAGTCCTTGACTATGTTTTAAACAATCAGGAATTTGGTTTTGTTACTAAAACAATTTAACTATATAAAATGTTGCTTTCTTTTCCTCTCATTCCCTGTTCCAAAGTTCTGTGTTCACAACAATTTGATACTTTGGAAGTACATTTCTGTTCATTTTTAATTTTTATAGCCTAGCTTTTGTATCCAGTTTTTATTGAATGTCTACAAAGTGCCAAGCAACTCCCAGTACTGGGGATTCGGGGCATCAGTGATTAAAACAGATAAAAATCCTTACTTTCAAGGAGCTTATGTTCTAGTAGATAAAGAACATAGAAAATAAAAAAACCAAACAGCTAATTATCTAGTTTGTTACAAGATGCCAAGTGCTATAGGAAAAAATAGGTCAGGTTGAGGAATGAGAGTATTATGTTGGTAGTGGAGGCAGTAAACTGAGGTTGTGGTGATGAGAAATTAGCAGACTCTCAACTGGAAAAGATGATCATGCAGACATCTGGTAAAGGAGCACTGNATGAGAGTATTATGTTGGTAGTGGAGGCAGTAAACTGAGGTTGTGGTGATGAGAAATTAGCAGACTCTCAACTGGAAAAGATGATCATGCAGACATCTGGTAAAGGAGCACTGGTTTAGGCCAGAATGATAGCAGTGGGAATTGGTAAAAAAGAATCTGAAAAATTCTTGCAATATTTTAAAGGTGAGCTAATATAAATTCCTGACTATTGGATGTGTACTCTGAGAAAGAGAGGAGTCAAAGATGAAAGATTTTGGCTTAAGAAACTTGAAAACCAGAGTTGCAATTAACGAAGATGGAGAAAATTATGGATAAAGTAGGTTTTATCAGGGGAGATACATTTTTCAGCCTGATTAGAGTACATTCAGGAAAGAATGGGAAGGGAGGAATTGGAAACAAGTATAGAAAACTCAACTATTGCTCCAAAAGGGAAGGAAAAATGGGTGGTAGCTGGCAGGGGAAGTGGAGTAAACAGGTTTATTTAGGTTGGGAAATACCGTAACCTATGTGTTTGCTGGTAGAAAGATTCAGTTAAGAGGGAAAATTGATATTGTATGAGAAAAAGATAATGGTTGGAACAGCATTCTTGAGAAGGTGAGTGGGGACAGGATACAGTGTAAACTAGAAATCAGATTTAAGTAGGAATATGGATGGTTAGGAAGATAAGAGTATGTAGAACCTGTGTTGGTAGACGGCTGGATATGGCTGTGGGAAACTGCAGGAGTCCTCTGTCAATTAATTTTCTGAGTAAAGTAAGAAAGAAGGTCATCAATTGGGTGGAGGGTGAGGGAGGTGGTGTTGGAGATATGAGGAGAAAGGGGATATGAAATGGTAATCCAGTAATGAATTTAAAATGAGACCAATCAATATAGTTGTTCATTTTGTTTGGCTGTTTAGCCGTAGGCATGGAGAAGACAGAATAGAGTCAACCAGGTTTTGGTTTTGTCAAGCAAATAAGACAAAGCTAGAGAGGAGGTTGAGTGAATTGAATGCAAAGGAGTGATTATAATGACTGAATGTTTAAACCAGATAAGGAAGAGAGGACTTCAAGAGTTGAGTGACAGGGCCCTCCCCGGTGGCTCAGTGGTAAAGAATCCATCTGCCAATGCAGACGGCATGGGTTTGATCCCTGTCCTGGAAGATCCCACATGTCGTGGAGCAGTTAAGCTGGTGCACCACAACTATTGAGCCTGTGCTCTAGAGCTCAGGAACTAAAATTACTGAAGCCCACACTCCCTAGAGCCCAAGCTCTGCAACGAAAGAAGCCACTTCGATGAGAAGCCCATGCACTGCAACTGAAGAGTACCCCCCACTCACTGAAACTAGAGTAAAGCCTTCGCAGCAATGAAGAGCTAGCACAGCCAAAAACAAATTATTATTTTTAAAAAGCTGAGTGACAAATTACTTATTTAATATGAAAATGTTAAGAGTGCTGTGTGAGGCTTATGTGGAATAATGTGTGCAATCACTTTCTCGAGGTTTCTCATCAGGATCACCTCGGGTATTTTTGACACTACTATTGGCCACAGCCCAGTCCCCCACATAGAATTTCTGAGGGTAAGGCCGAGGATGACTCAGTCTAACTACTTTCCAGGTGACTCTAATGTATAGTCAGGGCAGCAAACTTCCATGTTACCTTAATGATCTCTATTCATGATACAATTATTTAATAAATGTCTCCTATGAGCCAGGCAACATACTATAGTATTCTCTCATTTAAGTTCCACAACTTTTCAAAGAGTTTGTGCCTAAAGTGACAAACAGTAAGTGACAGTCAGGGCTGTCTAGCCCGTTATCTATGATATAAAGCTTGTTACTCCAAGACTAGTTTGAGGAGCAGCAGCATCACCTGAGACCTTGTTAACAGGAACTGCCTTCTCACTGACCTGTTAAATCAGAATCTGTATTTGAATAAGATCTTTAGGCGACTCCTACATATATTAAAGTTCGAAAACAGGCCACACAAGCTCTCTCCACCATAATTTCTATTCTGGGGTAAGATGGACCCAAACAATTCATATCAATGGGCCAAGGGCAACATTTAGTTTAAGAAATTCTTTAGCTGTACCCAATTGCTTGTAAGTATCAATAAATAGTTCTTTAATGCCTGAGAAAGGTAATAAATGCCTAAAAAGGATTATTTCTAGAAATATTTTACTTATAACACTGAGAGTCACTTAGGATTCCTTTGAAAGATATCTTTTATTTGTTAAATTAAAGGCCAATAAGGTATGATCCAAATGAAGTGTTCTATGAGATGCTATTTTGTATAGTGCTTCATAGTTACTAAATGTCTTTTTGTTATTCCTTGAAATGAACTTGAGTTTGTTACTGGGATTCAGGCAAATTGTCTAAGACCACATAATAGGTAATTGCAGGACTAAGACTCAAACACAGTTCCCTTGATTTCTGTTTCACAAGATGGAGCACTATGGAGGAAAGCAGTCATTTCAAAGAGAACAAAGCAGCACTGCTTCACCAGTTCCTGGAGATCTAGCCTTGTAGTTCTTACAGGGAGAAGCCCCTATATCACTATAACCAGGCAATCCTGGCTTCTGTCACAAACTTTATTCTTGAAACATTTACACAGGGTTTGGTGGGATTGGAGGTAGGAAGGAACATCAGTACCTTATGCAGTAACTTTGTTCTGAATCAACCAAAATTTCTAACAACCAAAATCATTGTGAATTGAACATACATAATCCTAGCTCAAATAACATCTAAGCCTTTAGATTTCATTCAAGGATGTATTTATTTACAAGATACAAGTGTTTATTTAATAAGAATTAAAGTGCTTAATTTTACAATGTTTCCAGCTCTCTGACCAAATATACATATTTACACAATATATACACTATCTGCAAGTATTTTACATTCATACAGCTAGAAAAGAAAATTTACTTTTTGTGTACACTTTTTCACATTTGAGTTAACTCTAAAATTTTGCTAACATACCTTTTCAAATTCATCATTCAACAATTCAAAAACCCAGACAGCACTTATTCAAAAATAACAGTCAATTGTCACTCACAAAATGAAATGCTAGTTTGTAAAATAAACAAATAAAATCCCCCCAAATTTTATATACAGATATGATTGCTGATGGAGACCTTCCCCAAGTGATACATTCCAACATCCATATAATATGTACTATATAATGCAATTCTGTTATCATAATGGTCCCATAGACTATTATGTCTTTTCCCAAACCTATATATTAATGTATATATATCTCACTCTATGTATTTGGTATTCACTTATTCAAATATGCTACAATATTTCTTGATTTAATTTATCACTAGTCTACCTAATCTCACTAATTCAATCTATAATGAATTTTAGGAATGGGTAAACATCGTTTAACTCTCAGTGACTCACAATGAGTTAACTATCTTGTAGAAGCGATGTGCTATTTCATTTCAAAAGACAGAAAAGACACTGTTTCCTGCCAAATGTTCAGTCCAAAAAGTAGAAGACAGACCATGACTGACTTTAGAGTGATTTTTTTTTGTCATTAAACAGTGCAGAAAATGGTCCAACAGTATTATTATTATTAAGTCTAAAAGAAAAAGAAAGCAATATGATTGTTGCTGTTTAGTTGCTAAGTTGTGTCTGATTCTTGCAACACCATAGGCCACAGCCCACCAGGCTCCTCTGTCCATGGGATTTCCCAGGCAAGAATACTAGAGTGGGTTGCCATTTCCTTTTCCAGGGGATCTTCCTGACCCAGGGACTGAACCCACATCTCCTGCTTAGCAGATGGATTCTTAACCACTGACCCACCTGGGAAGCCCAATGACAAGATACTAATGATATAATTTGGAGGTCACGGTGAAAGGCCCAGGTGCAACAGATCCATGAGAGTGCAATTACAGATTTGCATCTTACAGTTTATACCCCCCTGCGGTTTAAGTAACTTTCATTTACCTTAGCTATATTGCTCTGATTTGGAGACCATGGGTCTCTTTCTGTCCACCTTTCTGTCCATGCTTGCTTGTTTCAGTTCCTAATAATATTCCTCTCTGCCATATCAGTAAAGAAAGCAAAGTTATCTTCTCATGACAACATGATTACAGGGCATACATAAGAATAGATTTTACTAAAATTTCATGTATATAATTTATGTTAAAATATTTAAGTTAAAAAGAATACTTTCTATAAAAATTTTATTCCGATGGAAAAACAGAATTTGAAATCAATAGTGCTTTTAATATATACCTGAATGCAGAAACTCACAGAAAGGGTTTCAAAAGTATATCTAGTAGTCTTTCTACATCATACTCCTATTTTCTAAATCTGGAGACTCTATAGTAAATAATAGTATTACAATAAAAAGCAATTTGATTCTACTAAAATTGGATGAGGATGAAAAAGTAGCATGATTCACTACAGATGTTCAATATAGCCCTAAGAATAAGAACACATTAGTCACAGATTTCATATTAATATATTCTTAAAGAATACAAAATTTAAGAATGAAGACATTAAGATATTTTTGCTTTTTGAATTAATTTTAGCTTATATATACCATGTGCTTTTAATCTTAGAGGTGCTAACAGGAACATTATATAATGTAAAAAAATTTTTCTATTCTGCAATATAGCAAGAATACCTGCAAAACAAACAACAAAACAACAACAAAAACCTTTTGCTCCCTAGAAATTTATTTGTTCATATTGTTACCTTTTCCTCAGGATATACTCAGCCCAGAAAGATCATTATTATAGTTATTACAGACAATGAGCTCAGAATAAGAACTTAAGGCTTTGGGTATAATCAAAAATGAGATCTAAAATTCAGAGGAGGACAAATCCTGTTTCCACAAAGAAGACAATAAAAGGTTTGGTAAGTTTTAAAAATTGGGATTTTCTTTAGCCAGTAAATATAAGTATACCAATCTACATTAAGCTTCATGGAAAATGAAATGTAACCTGATGAAGTTGTGCAGATGTGCTTTAACTGTTTTTTTTTTTAACCATCCAGACCCTTTGCAAAAATAAAAAGGCTTTTGATGGTTACTTGAATCCCAAGAATACTGTTGTCCCTACCCCAAACCCTGCCACATATACTTTCTTTTCCTTAAAAAGAGCAATTCAAATTACAGTATCACTCTTAGAAGTTAGCTCTCTATATCCTTGTGGCTAGGAATGTTCACATTAAAATTTCAGTATAAAATCCTACCCTGTAAAATTTTATTGCTTGTATACATGATGGCATTATAGATGCCACTGTCACAAAAGTGGCTGGTGACATTTTTCATTTTTGGGTCCCACTTAAAACCTGAAGATAAGTCTGCACTACATTTCATATTCAATATACCAAATCATAGACTTTCAATAAAGCAAAACTTATATTTAAAAAACTGGAATGTTTTATAATAAATAGTAGTTTTTAATCAAAGAAGTAATTTTTGTTAAGTCTGAAGGAAGGGCATGTTAAAAAATGACTTAGAAGAAAATAAAGAATAAGGCTCTTATGGAATGTTGTTTTAATAGTAAAACAATCAATTGCTTTTCTAGGCTCAATTTATTATGACAGCTCAGGTGTTTCAAAAATCAAAGACATTACTCTTATAATCAATTAGGTGCATTTTGAGGTCTTTTGGTTGAGTGTTTCTAAATGGCTAAAAGTATTCCTTTGCCTTTTTCCAAGTAAAAGCATTAGTGAAAACAAAGCTGCTTCATTGCTTCTCTTTGTGCCTGACAAAAGAACATGTGGAATGTGAAAACGGTGACTGGATAAGCAGAAATTCTCTTCTGATACTAACATTTCTATTTTTTTGGGAAAAAAAATTAAAGATAATGTTAAAGAATATGATAATAAATATTTCCTTTACATGAGTCTTCTTTCAATACTCTAAATTAAATAACATCTGATATTTACTGAGCCAAAACTTGAATGTGTTCATGTTACTTCCATTCCAGGAGGACTTATTTGTAAGAAAAATGTAATCTTTTTACTCTTCAAGACAGTTCTCAAAAATAATTTGACTTGTAAATCTTCTAACTGGCCCTTACATTTCCATTTTTATATCCGCATTACAAAAGTCACCTTCTCCTGATAATCATTCTACATTTTTACTGCTTCTCTTTTCTTGAGATTAAGAAAATCAAAGCATCACCTACAGCCATATTATAACCTTCTCAATAATCACCCCTAAACACCATATACACAAATACACCCATGCCTAGCAACTAGAAAAGAGAAACAATGTGAAATATTTTAAATTTGTCCTTAATTTAATAGGGCCTAAGAAACTACCTTTATCTTTTTTGGCTCCAAGTATTTGGCATAATGTTGATGGTAATGGCTGGAATTCCTTTTTCAGAAGAAGGCAATCTAATCATGCCCACTATAATTAGTTTAGCTTCTCCTTAGGGATGTGGGGGAAAAAAAAGAGATACTGAAACTTCATGTATTTTTTTAAAAAATAGGGCCTGAACAAAATGTGTGGCAATCTCAAATTCTGAGTGAATCTAATCTACCTTTAAGGTGTAATCCCCAAAGGCTAGTAGGATCATTCTTGTGGATTTCTAGCAGACAGATGAATTTAAAAAATGACAATGTTTGGAACATGATAGAGTAAATGAAAAACAAGAGAGAGCGATCTAAGTTTGAGAAAAGGATTAACTTAAATATCCAACAATGTGAGATTTTAATCACAACTACAATATAATAAAGAATGGCCTTTGTGACAAGGAATCTATTAATATTAAGAGTGTTTATTAAAATTCCCCAGAGGATAAAAGGGGGAAAATGCTCAAAGTTTCATCAATCATACTGTACCCCCCAAAACTTGCCATTAAAATACTATTTTTTCTATATTGTATTTTCCCCCACTGTTCTTCAGTGAGGTGGTTTAAAAAGTTAAGCATAAACTGTCTTAATTACCTATCCTTTACCCTTAATCATAGATTATCACATGTGAATTTTTTTCCATATCTGACAAAGGAATAAGCCCACACAGTTATCTTAAGTGTTAATTATATATAGTCCTCATTTAACCAAAATTAACAGTCTTAAGGGAAAGGAAAACATAACAATAAATGTAGTTGCTGTATGTCCTAGTTCTGTGTAAGGTCAGGAATCTTGAACATGCTGATATCAACTGCCACAACAATTAGAGGACGGTAAAAGGTAAAATAATCTGTATGACTTGATCATCCCAGTGACCAAAATGCATTTTATCTCAGAGTAATCAAGACTGAAGCATTAATTAAACCCTCATCTTATATTTAACTAGGTATTATTAGCACCTTCAAAGAGAGGCACTGTTTTAAATAGGCACAGAACAAAGAAAAATAGTACTTTAAAAATACTGTTGGAACTCACTAATATATCCCATGCCACATAAATTACAGCTTTTTATTATAAAAATACCAATACCCTTAGATGTTAATCAGTTAAATGTAAATCAGCAAAAACATCTCATAAGTTTAGAACACTCCTCAGTTCCAAGATAAAACATGCTGTATATTTAAAAATAAATTAGAGACAAATATGAACCTAACCTGAAAAGTGTGGATAGTGTGTATATATATATTTGTATTTAATACTATATGTACATAATTGCTATATTCTTAAGATATTTTATTCTTAGAAGTATTTCTACAAACACAAGTATTATCTTGAGTACCAACAATGTGTCTTTTTTCTTTTGCTTTAAAAGAATGTACATTATTTATGCAGCTTGTTTTATAAACTAACTTAAATAAGTTAATACAATAACCTAAATTGTCCCTGTATTGTTGTTTTTTTTGTTTTTTTTTTTTTTACTGTGGATCTATTTTGGCAACATGGAGGTATATCTTTAACTGTTATAAAGCCTACATGTGTAAGTGAAGACATTAAAGGATTTCTTAAATGAAAGAGGACTTCTCTAACCTGAAGTGATAGAATTAAATGATACCACTTTTTTCCAAGACAAAAGTACATATGCAAGGAATAGCTCATTAAGAAAATGCTCCACTTTTCACATTATTTCAAACTTTATGGGTAGAATGTGCACATTAATTTCACTAAGAGTACATAAACATAGGAAAACAGTCCCCCAAAAGATGCATTTATGAGCCTGTAAAATTTTTCAACATAAAGTGCTAAGAGATGAATAAGGAGAGCTGAGAATATCGTGAGCTATAAATCTTGAGACACGCCCTACACCGTGGTAGGTCTTGAAACTTAGCATTCTGATTTTCTCTTAGGTTCAAGATGATCGTCCAAAGTGTCTGGATGCTGGCTAGGACCATCTGGCGTCTCACCTGTGACAGCTAAAAGGATGATTTTCAGCCACTTCTGTTTCAGTTCCTCACTGTCGGCAGCAAAGCTGTGCACAGACTTAGACTGGGTCAGTTTGAAGCTGTGTGGCAGGTCTGCACTTCTTGGCATGTCGTCCACAATATAGCCCAGGAGTGGAATGGTGGCCTGGGCTCTGACATCCTAAGGAAGAAACATGGTGAGATGTGATCTGGCTCCCACTAACGCTCCTTTCCTACCATCTCTCCACAGACTTCTACTGTGAGCTCTCCATGGAGATGGGACAGATCCATTGCTTAGCACTGTGCCTCTACATGAGGCCACTGGTAATGTCACCTGAGTGAATTAATGAATAAGCACTAATGCCTAAATCAGCCAGAATTCATTGACCCCACACCTCTTTCCCTGTAAGGGAGCCCATTCAGCTCTTTATTCAGTGTAAAAAAGAAGAAAAGAACAGTAATTTTATTGTACAAAATCAGCAAATGTTAATGATGATTTCATTACCAAACACAGTTCCATTTGGTGTTTAATTCATTCATGCATCAATTTACTTATGGACAGGAAAAACAATGAAATAGAATAAAAAAACAAATAACTCAATAAAAAAATGGGCAGAAGACCTAAACAGGCATTTCTTCAAAGACACACAAATGGCCAAAAGGTACATGAAAAGATGCTCACCATCGCTAATTAGAGAAATGCACATCAAAACTACAATGAGGTATCATCTTACACTGGTCAGAATGGCCACCATCAAAAAGTCTATAAATAATAAATGCTGGAGAGGATGTAAAGAAAAGGGAGACCTCCTACACTGTTGGTGGGAACGTAAATTGGTTCAGCCACTAAGGAAAACACTGTCGAGGTTCCTTAAAAAACTAAAAACAGAGAAAATGATGTGTTGCAGTTCATGCAGGTTGCAAACAGTCAGACATGACTTAGAAACTGAACAAAAACAACAAAAAGCAACTCTATGATTCTGCAATCCCACTCCTGAGGATACATCCGGAGAAAACCATAACTCAGTAAGACACATGCACCTCAGTGTTCAGTGCAGCACTATTTACAATAGTCAAAACATGGAAACAACCTAAATATCCATCCACAGATGAAAGGATAAACAAGATGTGGTATATATATACACACACATACACAATGGAATATTGCTCAGCCATAAAAAGAAGGAAACGATGCCATCTGCAGCAACTTGGATGGACATAGAAATTATTATACTAAGTGAAGTAAACCAGGAAAGGAAAGGCAAATATTATATGATATCACTTATGTGTGGGCTCTAAAAGAAAAAAAAGACACAAATGAACTTATTTCCAAAACAGAAAAAGACACTCACAGACACAGAAAAAAAAATTGGCTTTTTGGTTACCAAAGGGGAAAAAGGGGTGGAAGGAGGGATAAATTAGGAGGCTAGGATTAACACACACACACACACACACACACACACTAATATGTATAAAATTGATAACCAACAAGGACCTATTGATAACACAGGGAACTACACTGAATATTATGTAATAACCTATAAGGGAAAAGAATCTAAAAAATATGTATATGGGCTTCCCTGGTGGCTCAGACAGTAAAGAATCTGCCTGCAATGCAGGAGACCTGGGTTCAATCCCTGGGTTGGGAAGATCCCTTGGAGAAGGGTACAGCTACCCATTCCAGTATTCTTGTCTGGAGAAGTCCAAGGACAGAAGAGCCAGGTAGGCTACATGGGGTTGCAAAGAGTTGGACACGACTGAGGGACTTTCACTTTCACACACACACACACACACACACACAGAGTGATTCCTGAATAGCTGTGTTATACATCTGAAGTTTATATGCTATTGTAAGTCATTTATACTTCAATTAAAAAAATACATGTACACATCTTGGCATTTTTAGTCTATTTTGAAAATAAAGTTTCACTAGCCCTTAAAGTAGATATAGGGTGAAATACAATAGGTACATTAAAATTTTCATGTTTCTAGGTGAGTGCAAAATTGATTTATGTGTTGTTGGTTTTTAAGCACAATACAATCCATTAATGCCAGTGTATGTCTGTTGTTTCCAAATACTTATTTCAGATACATTCACACAAGGTTCCCCAAAATTATTAGTGGATAATGGTAATCCAAGGTTGATTTAAAGTCACCTTCTTCTCATATTGCTTTCTTTTTCAGGTATCCATCCTTTCAGGGGTTGAAAAAAAGGCTTATTGATATTTCCTATCATTAAAAAGTCTTCTTGCCTTTCCCTCTGATTCAACCTCTTCTTCCCATGCTCTTTACTAATTCAACCCATATTTTCTCAAACCCACTGAACAGGATGGACAGAGGAGCGCAAGTGATCCACAGGGAGAAGACACTTTTGTTTACAGAAGGAATCGGGCTTCCCTGGTGGCTTAGACAGTGAAGAATCTGCCTGCAATGCAGGAGACCTGGGTTCGATCCCTGGCTCTGGAAGATCCCCTCTCCCTTGGAGAAGCAAATGGCTACCCATTCCAATATTTTTTGCTTGGAGAATCCCATGAACAGAGGAGCCTGGTGGGCTAGAGTCCATGGGGTCGCAAAGAGTTGGCTATGCCTGAGCGACTAAGCACACATAGAAGGAATCAGTCTAAACGAATCTGAGTTACAGTTACTTATATTTTTCAACTATAATGAAAAATAGCAAGACTGTATGAATTCTTTTGTTCTATAGAGAAGTAATGGAAAAATTTTAAGTTCAGGGTCCACTGGCCTCCCTCTGTCCCTTCAGAAAGATATAGTTTAGATACCTGGGGAGCACCGTACATGTACAGCACGAGAGGGTCTTGTTTGGGGATCACACACCAAGCTTTCTGCCAAGGTTTTGACTTTTCCATATACTGCAGAAAGCTGCACACCACACTGTTTCCAGATACTTCCGCTGATTCAATCTAGAAAATATAATGCAAAGAGACAGTGAGACAAAGAAATGAACACAAAATAAACCCAGATAGCGAAGTGATTTGACTGAAGGGAATATTCATAAATTATATTTACATAAAATGCCTCCTGGGATTGTCCAAAAAAAAGGTTCATCTGCAACAGTTAATTAAATATGCATCTAGATCTATGATGAATTAGTCAATTTTAATTGTATTAGCAGACCTTGAATTTACACAAAATTAAACATTTATTGACTACTTACTATGAAGGCACTTTTCTTAGCTTACTACTTGTATCAATTTATGTGACATTCACACCAATACCGAAAAGTTATTACTTTCATTATCATGAGGTTTAGAGATGAAATAGCTTTCCTAAGATTTAGGAAATGGTGTCCTAGGATTTCAGTCTGGATCCAGAACTTGAACTCTTAGCCACAAAGCTATATCAGCATCACTATTTAAGAATACAATAGCAAAAAGGCAAATGATTACCAGCAATCTCTGCCCTTTACCTGAGATAATTTCAAAGTTTTTAAAATTACATTAGCTCTTGGTAGAGCACTGTACAGTTTTCTGCTTTGGCTCCTAATACATAAATAACTGGTTAAAAAGGGAACAAAATCCTTTGACCAATGATGGTTTTTATTACATATATTATGGAAAGCAACTGGTTTGCATCTATTTTCTGTTTTTTCTTTTCTATTTTTTGGCCACGCTAAAAAATGATCAATGGTTTGCATCTATTTTCTGCCTTTTTCTTTTCTTTCTATTTGAGGCATGCAGCACCTTAGTTCCCTGACCAGGTATTGAACCTGTGTTCCCTGCAGTGGAAACGCAGTATCTTAACCACTGGACTGCCAGGGAAATCCCTGCATCTATTTTGTATCTCTCAAATCCAGTGTCATCCACTGAGCAGTGCTGGTGTGCAAACTGTTTTGCTACTAGTTAGAGATAAGCACAAAAAGCAAGAATAAGCATTTAGAAACTTTTACAGCAATCTGACTTGTGATGATACCTGGGCACATAATTGTGTATTTTATAAAAATATAGCTAAGCAGAGATCTTATAGATGAACATTTAAAATCAATCTGAAGACAAGGAACACCAACTCTGGACTCAAATGAAATATTATCTATCTTCCCTGACTCCAAGGCATTTCATACTTTTTATTATCATATTGCAAAAATTTTATACTAAACTATGACTTCTGTTTCTAGGAGCTACTGAAGCATGTCTTTGTACCATCCCCTGCCAGAGAAAGTCCACTCTGGTTTGCCATACAAGCAACACCCATCCTAGAAGAATACAGTTATAGCTTGTGGGACCGTATTTTAACCTCAAGTGGACTTTAAAGTTTATGATCCTTCTTCAGTTAACAGAAATGATTTTTGTATGTTTATACAGCATAGATGTTTAATAAATACTAAGTGATTCTTAGAATCAATGAATTGCAGAAATTCTAGATAAACCAAGTATTTCTATAACTTTAGATACATAAGAATTTTGATCACAGATTTCCAGGCTATCTTGAACTTTTTCTCACCAAGAACCTTATTATGTAATTTATTACTTATGTTGTTAATATATTTGGGTATAAAACTCATTTTAGATATTAGCAGCATTATAGTTCCTAGGTTTGGGAGGTCTGAATTTATGTAAAACATTAAATCAAACTCAGTTGTAAGACATTTCATATTTCAGTGTAGTTCTCAGATTACTGTCACTGTCCATTAAACAACGCTTTTAATGCAATAAGCTGAAAGAGTTTTTCAGGTAATAAGACTTTAATCTAAATTTTTATATCATCAATAGTTTTCAAAGCCAATATGATGAAATTGAGAGAAACACTTTCCTCTTAAAAATAAATAGATATACTGTAATAAGTTGAGCATTAAAAGAGATACAATTAATACTCTAATATTTGACTACACCTTCACAAAGTCAATACACAATCAGCCCTCTATAACTGTGGATACAGACCCTATATGAAGGGCTGGCTGTACCACACTACTGAATGGATATAAGAGGTTTGAGCATCCATGGATTTTAGTATCTGTGGAGGGGCCTGGAACCAATCCCCCAGATACCAAGGAAGGACTAGATTTACTCTTAAATGCATTCTGGTTAATCGAGCACTGCCCCTCTTCTTTCTATACAACTGAGCATGATCCCAAGAGTCAGCAATAGAACAAAAGTATAAATCTTGCTTGTCATGGCCCAAATTGTTATACTAAGAGAAATTTAAAAATATATTACTTGTATTTTTCAGAGTTAAAAGGAAATTCTATTTCTAGTATAAAAAATAAAAGAAAAAAAAAAGAAAAAATCTGAAAGATATCCAATATTTAATATTTCATACCTCTAAAATTCCTTTCCTTTTCTTTTCTTCACTGTCTGTGAATCCACTTATTATTTGATAACAGTCTTTACAGACTTTGCTCAATTTACCACCATCATACTCAAGTTGAGCTTTATAATCAGAACACTTCCAACAAACCACCTTAAATTAAGAAAAAATAACAGTGAATAACCATATTTATAAAATAAGATTTAAGCAGTAATCAGTTATGGGTAATAATAAATGAGAAAAAGCTAAATGCAAATTTTTACTAGACTAATAATATTCCCATGAACATTTGGAATATTTGTCATCTTATTATAATGTTATTTGTGATGGGCTCTGCTTGCTCATCCTTCTCTTTGTGGCCCCTAAAGGTAGGAGATCTTCAAAGGCTTGGTACAGATTTTCATACTTCATGTGCATGCATGTATGTGCTCGGGCCTGGTGCACTGGGAAGACCCAGAGGGATCGGGTGGAGAGGGAGGTGGGAGGGGGGACCGGGATGGGGAATACATGTAAGTCCATGGCTAATTCATTTCAATGTATGACAAAAACCACTGCAATGTTATAAAGTAATTAGCCTAAAATAAATGGAAAAAAAAAATAAAATAAAATGCTAATCTGATATGTTTCTCTTCTATTTAAATTCCTTTAAAATCTTCCCTTTACTCTTGGATAATGAGCAAATTTTTAACCATGGCCTATAAAGTCTTGCATGATCTATCCCTTTTATTCTGTCTTCAGAGACACTGACTTCTTATAGTTCCTACAGTGCTATGCTTCCTTCCCTCTCTCATCTATGCTTCAGTGAGTTAATTCTTGCTCATTCTTCAGATATTTCACTCAAAGTTCACTTCCTCAAGGAAGACTCCTCCAGCTTCCAGAATATAGCCCTTCTCACCACTGTGTTACTAAAGTTTCATGCACTTTTTTCACTTACTGATCACAATTTTTAATAATATACCTGTGTGATTATTTGATCAATGTCTGTCAATTTCACTAGGCTCTAAGCTCTATGAGGAATCATCCTTGTATATTTGATCCCTATTTATATAATAAATATTTATAGAATGCCAATGACATTTATAGAATATGAAGGACATTTATAGAATGAATGACTACAACGCAAATGCAAGCTACTTCTTAGTGAATGGTATATTTGGGAAATATAAACATTAGCAAAACTTTGGGGGTAGATTCACAGCATATAAAATTCATGATAAAAATTATCCATTGTTTTCTCATGATTACAATGAAATTACTCTAGGATTTAAAATTAGACATGTCTGTATCTGCAAATTCATATCAACTAATATTTATTCTTCAAATTAGGCCACAGAATATTCAAACATATTTTTGTTTATTTAAAATAGTATGTCAATATCTGATATCATTTCAAGTAAACTCAGTGATAGATTAAAAAGTCTTACCCTGGGGGGGAGTGGGGGGAGATATTTGCTATCAATTTGGTTCTGCTTATTAAACTGTTTCATTTGAGTCAAATATTGGGAAAAAAGGAAGAATAAATCTGCAGAGTAATTGAGAATAATCTATGAGTACTATCAATAAAAACTGTTGCACAAAAGCATACTAATAATACATTCAATCATGACACTACAATGCCTACCCTTCTGTCTTTGTGTTGGTTTTTAGAAGTAAGTACTAATCTTCAACTTGGCTTACAAGGCCCTCCAAAACCTGCTACTTCTCTCCAGCTTCAGTTCTGCTTTGTCTCTTCTCACTCTTTCCATATGAAACAATTCAATTGTTGTAAACCTGTCAGCTGCCTCTTCTGATTTGCGCTGCTGAATCTTGTTTGAGAAATATCACTGTATTAAATGGACTAGTGTGTCCTTTTAAATTTATAACCATAAACCTCTAAAAGGTAGCCAGAAGGCCATCATTGTTTCTTTGGTAGGCTCTTTTCCTTGCCCAGAGACACTCTTTTTTTCAAATCTCCTGCCCTCTTCTTCCTTCCCCTTTTACTTTTGGATGATGACTCTTCCTCATATTTCAGTGAAAATGTAGAGATTATCAGATCTAAATCCCCTCATTTCCCACCAGAAAATAAAAAACACATCCACAAAAAATAAATAATAAATCAAAGAGCATTAAAAAAAAAAACCCCACCAAAAAACAAAACCACATCTACATTAGCACTCACCTTTCCCTTCATCCTCTGTTATAATGGAGAGAAGTTCCCTTCTCCCTATCAAAAGCCTGAACTTCTACTTAAGCTATAGGTTTCATCTCTTAATTTCTCAAAGCTCTTGACTCCTTTGGTTCTTATTTATCTATTTCTTAGATCGCTCATTATGCTTCAGCTGCATGACCTTTTGATAGTCTCAAGAATAGATCAAGTTTTTTCCTACCAAAGGGCTTTTGATATACAACTCTTACTGCCTGAATGTACTTCCTGCCGTTCTTTTTTATGGTTAGCTCACGTTTTAGGCATCAGCTTAAATATCAACCCCTCAGATAGGTCTTCATTTTTCTAAGTAAAATTGCTTCCAAATCTTGTTTCATTACTATTATTCTCCATTTTAACTTCTTGATTTCTTATTGCATTTATAGTCAGTTGAAATTCTTGTCTGTTTACTTGACTGATCTATTTTTCCCATTAAAATGTAAGCTCTGTGAAACTGGCTATCACTTTGCTTACCAGTTTTCCCCCTGGACCCAACACAATCTTTTGCATAAAGTTATCACCAAAATAAGTTTACCAATTAAGTGATTTATTGAATGATTTCTTTTTATTTTCCAAGATAATGATTTTATAACCCTTAAATACTGATTAGCAACCTCAATGACCAAGAAATCTCACGTACATGTCCACATGCTCGACAATGATGCCTTCTTCTTGTCAGGGCATTAAAAGACTCCTTGCATTTCATACACATGGTAACTTCATTATCTCGGATCCATTTTGGAGCTCTTTTCCCTAGCTCAGCAGTCTAAAAAGGAAAGAGATTCAATTTTAATGGCAAAAACTGTCATTTCCATCCATCCATTCATTTATTTTAAGAAACATTTTAACAACATTGTTCATACCATGTCCTGAAACTCAGGATGCAAAAGAAAACAAAGGTTCAAAGAAGTTTAAGCAGCATGAAAAGGCACTCTATTTTAGTTAAATAAGAAATGAAATTCTGTCCAAACAGCCAGTTTTGGTGTTGGAAAGGGAAAAAAAGTGGATAACAAAATGACTAGACAGATCTTTTGCAACTGTAGAAAGAAAAGAACTCAAATGAATTAATTCAACTTACAGAAACCTCTGAGTGAATCTCATTATCCTTGGCAATTGCATTTCTGAAAGTTTCATGCCTCTGATGGAAAGCATCAATAGTCTCTTGAAGTGCCTAAAATACATATGAAATTCAAATATATATTAAAGTATCACATGCAAATTAATTAAACAAAAAAATACTTTATTAAACAAATACCTAAGATATAAATCACCTTAAAAATTAAATGACCTTATTCTGATAACTACAATATGTGCATAATACAACAATATATGCACATCTGGGTATGCATACAGTTGTTGTTTACTTGCTAAACCATGTCTGATTCTTTCTATGACCTGATGGACTACAGCCTGCCAGCCTCCTCTGTCTGTGCGATTCTCAGGCAAGAATACTGGAGCAGACATACAGAGGTTACCATAAAACAAAAATGAAAACAGAAATCAGGTTTACCTTGATCCATTCTTCTTTGTCTTGCTCAGAACTAAAACATGAACAACAAAAAATTAAAGTGAAAAAAAGAGAGCATTAATGAGCTATACCTGGTGCATAAAACTATGTTTTTATGTTATTCCAACTTTATGAAAAATTTGGGGATGTCCAAGAAGGAGTTATAATAAAAATAAAACAGAATCTCTGGCAACTGAACAAATGAATTTATAAACATAGTTTTAGACTATCCATTTATTTCGGTACATACAATTTTTGACAGAGAGAGTTAAGCTGGGCTTCTACTGGTTTAACAACCATCAACTAGTTGTATATATTAGGTATCTGTAGACCTAGCATTATACTAGATATAGGCTTAGTCTTCCAATTCACTTTTATGAAAACACATGAGGCTTTGAAAGGCTACTAGTCACAACCCATCTTAGGAAAGATTGTAATTATCCTTGAGAACATAAATTGTCTTTGTAAGGGGGAGCTATTTAACATTTCCTTTGATAAGCAATTTAATTTTATTTTGCTAGGAGGCTTCAGGCAACACCATGCCTAATTCATTATAGATAAAGCACAACAAAGATTTAAATGCCTGTGGGAAGGAGATTTCACAGATTAATGAACACCAGTATTTAATAATTTTCTGGTGGGGAAATAATTTCCCATTTATCTCCAACTTGAGGGATTGTGAAGAATGGGCTCTATTTGTTTGTGTGTATTTGGTAGGCTAGGGCTAAGTTTGAGTCCCAGTCTCAGCCTGAATGTCACATGCCTCAGTCCCACAGCTATCACATATGTGAGAGTCTGGCAGGAGGCTTGCTCCTGTAACACATTCAATCTTTCTCACAAATTTATTACTGAGTATCTATCATGATATGCCAGGAATGCTGCTGGAATCTGTGCCTGTCAAATGTTAAAGAATCTGCTTATTTTTCACATGGGGATCCTTGAACCAAGAACCTTGGTTGGGGCCGGGGCTTCAATCTTAGCCCTCAAAAAAGATTTCTCCTAATGCTATGCACACTCCCACAAAATCAGCTCTGTTGCTCTGGAAGCATAGTCATCTGCTAGCTGCTTTTAACTTTTTAAATGCAAAGTAACTTGACAAGTCTTCAATGTTTTTTGTTTTACTTTCTCAATCATGACAGATTTTTTTACTCCTTTGTTTATTCATTACTCTATTTTTATAACCATTTGGCAATAGAAAACAATTGATAAAAACTACATAATTTTGATTTAAAAACTTATATTCTTTTGAATGTGGAAGGGGAAGCATAGTGTAAGAGGTCAGTCTTGAGGCTGACTTATTTAGTAAGAAAAGCAGTACTTTGTTCCCCGTATTTGCTTCAGAAGTGAATTCTCATTAAATACCATCAAATATATACCCAAATTGAGGTTCCATTTAATCCCTCTGACTTTCTGAGAATTTCAATGTGCGTCTGTACTCTTGAGAGAGTCATTATGGACCAGAAGATAAATAATCACATTTCATTCAGATCTTCAAGTCACCAAATGATAATAAATACAACTAATGCAATGAGATTAGGCTGCTGCTGCTAAGTCGCTTCAGTCGTGTCCGACTCTGTGCAACCCCAGAGATGGCAGCCCACCAGGTTCCCCCATCCCTGGGATTCTCCAGGCAAGAACACTGGAGTGGGTTGTCATTTCCTTCTCCAACGCATGAAAGTGCAAAGTGAAAGTGAAGTCGATCAGTTGTGTCCGACTCTTTGTGACCCCCTGGACTGCAGCCTACCAGGCTCCTCCATCCATGGGATTTTCCAGGCAAGAGTACTGGAGTGGGTTGCCATTGCCTTCTCTGAATGAGATTATGGAAATAAGAAATTTAAGGAAAAATGAATGTGTTTTCAATACTAATTGTAATGTATCCTATAGTACATGTTGCAACTCTGCAAAATGATAAACTGCCTCTACTTAAGAAAAAAATTTCATGGATCAGCCCCATCCTGAAGGGAAAAATAGCCCAACCTGCTAATGGAGGGGCTGGAGTTCCTCACTATTCAGGAAAGCCAAGAAACCCTGACAATCTCTTGTCTGCTGTTCAGACACATCTCTTAGGTTTGCAGATTTGAAACTGTGCTCATATGCAGAGCTAGCAACACCTTCATTTATCAGTAATGAAGACTTCTATGATGATCTGAAATATTGATGAGTCTTCCCTGGCACCAGGGTCACTCAGTAAGTCGACCACTGAATAAGGAATTCAGTCAAGAGCTTCCACACACAGCAACATACATTGCTCTCTTAGGTTTGACAGCGGGGTCCAAATCTCACCATGACAAAGTAGGAAAACTGTAACATTTAAGGCCAAGTACTTCACCACTTTAACTCATACTTGAAATTCCACCTTCTAATCCTCAGAGAACCCTCCTGGAAGCTCCCTAAGCAAAACAGGTTCATTAAATATTTTCTGTGGAAAATCAAAGAACTGGCGAGGTATTTCTTCAAACTTTCCTAGTCTGCCACACATTCCATGTCTGTATTCACCATTCCCTTGCTCCCTGGGCACAAATTCATACTAAAATAATTTATTCTCTTTTGAAAATATGAAGTTTAAGCTAGTACAGAATTGTGTGTGCTAAGTCACTTCAGCTGTATGTGACTCTTTGCAACCCTATCGACTGTAGCCTGGCAGGCGCCTTACTTATTAGTAGTGCTTATTAGCGCAAATATCCTGGAAGAGCTCACGTGGGCAGCCAGAACCACATAGAAAGGAACACAAGGGTTCTCTGATTCTCCACAGGCTCTAAGGTATCAGAACTATTAGAGCTGGGATTAGTAGTTAACCTTCTGATCTGTACAGAACTTCTGGCAAATCTCAATTTTCATCATGCTTGGTCTTTATAGGATAAAAGGATGATAGTTTCTGACAGCATTCTGTTTTCTAGAGGTTCACACATGAGGTGGCTGTTATCTATTACAGGTGGTTCTCAGGTTTTTTTTTCCTTCCCAAACATGGTGATGCTAGAGGGATGGATGCTAGACCTCTAGCTCTTTTCTCCTACTCAATAAAGCATATAAGAAGAGCCACCCCTTCCAGAAGTCCCGGTTGCTAGAGGCTACTAGAGCCCCAAATGGCCCCCTTCATGTATCCTCAATTGTGGCAGGAGAATTATCTTTTCCAAAATGCCTCCTCCAGTCATTCTCTAGACCAAAGTGTCATTAAGTCCTACAGATGCAGAGTCTCTGAAGGACAGATTGCTAGAGCTTCAACGTTTATCATGAAATAATAAACATCAGTAAACATTTGTGAACCAAAAGGAAAGATGGAAGGGAAAATGGTTAGGAGAGAAATTTTTCCTCCAAGACTTGAAACTTCAGCTTGAATGCATAACTTCATTCTTGTAAATGCATCTTGTAAATCTAAACAGCCAAATTAATTTATTGAATGTTTACTGTCTGAAAAACCACTATTCCAGGCACCAGGAATCAAAAAGGAAGACAATTTCGGACTTTCAAGAGCTTATATCTTTCCATTTATGTTCAACCAAGCTTGGGAAAAGGCCTCAGAATTGTTGTATCCTATGATTTAACCTGATGCTTTTGGAAAGTTGTGAGAGAGGAATGGTTCTCTTACCTGGCTTGCAGTTCCAGTGTTCTCTCTTTCCCAGATACCTGGAAAGTGTGTGGATATTCTTCATTGTGAGTCTCTACAATTTTCATTCCATCGATGCCTACCCTGGTTCGAACAGTGAACTTAGAGCCCACCAAGCTGAATTTTGGCACACAGTATAACAACATGTTGTTGAACTGCAAGAAAGAGGAATACACGTTAAAAAAATGGGAAAGCAAGGCAGGGGAAAGTGACCAACATTGAAAGTAGCCCAAGACAAAAATTCCAGGGAATATCATGCTTTATCTGTGAAAAAATTATTTCTGTACTATAGAGCTTTTATGCCTATATCAAAATGATTATATTATAAAAAAATTTGTAACATGTATTTTCCTTTGTTGGTTCATAAATATCTTGCTAATATTTAAGTAAAGAAATCATTTTATACTAGTAAGAAAATCAGTTAAAGAAATTAGGTTCAATAACAATTTATTAAGGATATACCAGAAACTGAAGTTCTCAACCATATAAGTTGAAGCCCTTAGACAATAAAATTTCTAATTGTTGTATCTCAGGCAACAAATCTATAATAGCTGTTAAAGGAAAACAGCAATATATAGCAATTATTTTTACCAATGTGCTTAATTTTAAGTTTATTATACAGAGTGAAGTAAGTCAGAAAGAGAAAGATAAATATTATTATTCTAACACATATATATGGAATCTAGAAAAATGATACTGAAGAATTTATTTACAGGGCAGCAATGGAGAAACAGACATAGAGAATAGACTTACGGACATGGGAAGAGGGAAGAGGGTGAGATGTACAGAAAGAGTAACATGGAAACTTACATTGTCATATGTAAAACAGACAACCAACAGGAATTTGCTGTATGGCTCAGAAAACTCAAAAAAGGGCTCTGTATCATCTAGTATCATCCCACTAGAGCGGTGGGGTGGGGAGGGAGATGGGAAAGAGGTTCAAAAGGGAGGGGATATGTATATACCTATGGCTGATTCATGTTGAGGTCTGGCAGAAAACAACAAAAGTCTGTAAAGCAATTATCCCTCAATTAAAACAGAAAAGTCATCTATTTTAGTAAAAAGTCTTTATTTAAAATGAAGAATTTATTTTGAAACTGAATCAAATTACTACTTCATTTCTAGTCAACAATGAACAGGCCCTGCTAATCACTACCAAGCAATGATTTGGGGAGGGCATTTAATTAACTTTTAAATATATTAAATCATGCAAAAGGATGAAAGTCTAAGTATCTGGATTAACTTGTAAGCAGATTACTAAAGAAGGTCCATAATTTTCTTCCTACTTCATATTTATTCTAACATTGTTTCTAGGATTAAATATATTTTTTATAAGACAAAAGCAACTGAGCACTGAACCTCTTATGTAACCTCTCATTCCTCAGGATCATTATCTGTAAAAGTCACAAGTTGCTGAGAGGATTAAATGAGTAATAATGTCCTGTTCTGCCAGGTCTTCTGTTTAGCTCCAAACATCAAAGAAATGTTGATGGATATTTAAAACATGTCAACATGTTTATGTGACAATGTCCACTGTACTCATTCCGAAAGCAAATTTTTTTTACCAGTTGTTCCTCATACATTACTTTTAACTTCCTATGACCGGTGTCATAAATTTCATTTCCATACTGGATAATGCAGAAATAAAAGGTCACTGAATACATTTTTATCAGATATACTTAAGTACAACACTTCAAATTCACATTTCTAGAAGGGAATATAATCCATCTTTATCATTAATTGCCCACTATATTCTAAGTATGGCAATCACAACCTCCTTGTAGTACACAGAATCTGGAGACCTGAAACTACTCTTAAAGGTTATCATCATCAGTGCAGCTTGATTAAGGCAACACCTTGCTTGCTAACTGTTCATGTTAGTATTTCTTTCTCTCTCCTATCAAGGCCTTCTCAGAAGGAGGTTTCGCTACATCTGAACAGTGCGGTGGGGCTACAAAGCAGCCACCAAGATGGAGAGGACCCACACTTTCAAGACAGCAACAACAATCAAATTTTTCTACAAACTGAGTGACAAATGTAATGTTATGGAATGAAATTTCTGAGTTATGAGATACACACACTCAAATTTGCTGTATAAAGTTCGACAAAGTCTTATCCTCTTATAGAAACACAAGCCCATGAATATGGAAGTTCTGAGCATTTGCTTTTGGCAGTTATGCTCACAAAACATGACAGACTGTCTTACAATGATGTGCTTCTCTTTCCCTTTCATGCTTTCAGGATTATATTTTCCCTATTCTTCCTCTGTGGGACTTCACATTCTAAATTGTCAATACTATATATTAATCTTATATAAACTCAGGTTACAACATACCTAATAAATACCCTTCTTCTTCTACTTAGAGGTGCAGGTGCACCTGTTGCCTCTGTGAAATCTTGCTCCTATGGCAAAAGCCACCATCACCTTCTCTGGGTTTTTGCTAGGACTAAAAGAGGAAGTTACAACAACTGTAGGACCAAGTAGATTGACTTTCCCTTTCAGTGAAAGAGATCCTTTTTATTCCATGCCCATAGCTCAGAAGTAGTTACTGACAAAGCACTCTCTGGCTGGCAAGCTCTAGAAGAGCTGCTGCTGCTGCTGCTGCGTCGCTTCAGTCGTGTCCGACTCTGTGCAACCCCATAGACGGCAGCCCGCCAGGCTCCCCCGTCCCTGGGATTCTCCAGGCAAGAATGCTGGAGTGGGTTGCCATTTCCTTCTCCAATCTAGAAGAGCTAGACTCTGTCAAAACCTAGAAGAAAATCTCAACTTTATTAGAAGAGCAGGGGGGCTTTCACCTACTTAATCTCCAGTGTTCCTTGATTCTTTGAATTCTCTTAAAATATATTATCTGACTGAAACAATTCAATTTTATGTCCCACTCATGACACTTCACTAAAGTTTGCTTTAGAAGGTAAAAATATACTGTTGGAGAAAATTTCCAGTGCCTGGTCTATATTCAAAGTTTTAAATTAGTCAAGAGAAAAATATATGTACATATATACACATATGTATGTATGTGTATATATATATATATATATTATACAGTATATATATATATAATAACTTGGTCAAAAGCTACAAGGAAATAAGGACTAGAACTCCAAAGAGCCAAGAATAAGTAAAATCTCTTATTCTATGGGAGAATTTAGTGTGTTTTTTTTAACTTTCAGATGTCAGATGTGATTGTATACTTACTCAACAGAGTGCCCTTTTCATTAACATGAAAAGAATAATGTGGAGGCAACAAAACAATGAAAACACATGATGATCATTTGAAAGCCGAAATCAAATTTTAAATATAAATTTGGCTTTTCAGATTTACGAATGTAACATCTTCAGAGTAATAAATAGAAAACTAGCCCTCATTTTATGTCTAGAGAGAAAGGAAAATAAAAAGGTACTTCTGAAGTTTCTGCATATAAGAAAAGTAAGATACTCCATGGGAATAAACGTGTGCTGCAGAGAAGAGAGATTCTATGACAAGTGCAGTACTAGAGGGGGAGGACTGAAAGAATGAACATCATAGAAAATGCTTCTAAGATGGTCTTCAAAAGATGGATAAGGCTTTCCTAAAATTTCTACTGTAGGACTTCATTCTCCTGAAAGGAGAATGATATGTTTGATAACTTATAATAACTGGAACAAGATAGGTACTTTCAGGTACTTTCCTCAAAGTCACTACTGCTGTATCCCCTCAAGGCCCTTTGCCATCTGTTCTCCGAACAGCTTGGAGTTTCAACTTCAGCATCAGTTCTTCCAATGAACACCCAGGACTGATTGCCTTTAGGATGGACTGGTTGGATCTCCTTGCAGTCCAAGGGACTCTCAAGAGTCTTCACCAACACCACAGTTCAAAAGCATCAATTCTTCTGTGCTCAGCTTTCTTCACAGTCCAACTCTCACATCCATATATGACCAGTGGAAAAACCATAGCCTTGACTAGATGGACCTCTGTTCGCAAAGTAATGTCTCTGCTTTTTAATATGCTGTCTAGGTTGGTCATAACTTTCCCTCCAAGGAGTAAGTGTCTTTTAATTTAATGGCTGCAATCACCATCTGCAGTGATTTTGGAGCCCAGAAAAATAAAGTCAGCCACTGTTTTCACTGTTTCCCCATCTATCTGCCATGAAGTGATGCCCCCTCTCAGGACTACTTAGTTCTGAGACAGAGAGGGACTCACGTGCAAGTATAAATCTAACAGGTGCATAGTCCACACCCCAGCCACCTTCCCCACTGAGTTTTCATACTCTGGGCCAGTGTTCCCCTTCTCCAAGAACCCTAAGGCTAGGTACCAGGCGACGGTCCCTGTGCCTCACAGCCTAATGAAATGATTAAACCAGTAAATTCTAAGCATGTTTTCCCTGTTTTGCCTATTCCTTCTTGCAGAAACCAAACTAAAAGTTCTTGCCCACATGTTCTGCTTGCTCCCTCTGCCTTCTGACCAACCCTGGTGCTTTTTCACCAAGCCCTTGGTGTGGCATTCTCCCACCTTTTGGGATCTGTGATTATAACTATCTTTTCAATGGCAATCATCTCCTGATGTGTTGGCTTCACCATATCTGAGTAACAAAACCTATATTTCTAAGTAAATAGATCTCCGAACCCTAATAAAACATTACAAGTCCCTGATTTACATTTAGGTCTCTATAAAACCTCTGAAAGGTGAAGTTCTTCTTTTGAGCCCAAATGAAGATTTTTTTATAGGTAATTTGGAAACTATCTATAAAAATTATAAGTTATAAGATATAATTCAAAAAATGCTTTTAAAATGTTTAATTCATGGATTTTATATAGTTGTTAATTGTGTAACCATCACTACTAATTTCAGAACATTTCATAACTCTAAACAGAAATCCTGTGCCTATTTCCTCTCCCCACCAGCCCAAGGCTACCACTACTTACTTCCTATAAGTAGTAAGTAATATTCTAGACATTTTATATAAATGAAATCATATCATACAGTGTGGCCTTTTTGTAAGTGGCTTTGTTCACTTACACGATGTTTCAAAGTTTATCCACGTAGCATATGTTAGTATTTTATTACTTTTTACTGCCATATAATATTCCAGTGAATAGGTATACCAAATTGTTTATCTACTCATCAGTTGATGAACATTTAGGTTGTTTCCACTTTGGGGCTATAATAAATAATTTTGCTAAGAACATTCATGTACAAATTTTGTGTGGACATGTTTTCAATTTTCTTGAGTTTTATAAACTTGAACTAGAAATGTTCGATCACCTGGTGACCAAATGTTCTTTTTTAAAAATGAGAGATATCATGAACACCCTCTGCATGACAGTTAGTTCCTATAAATTTGTCTTTGAAGGGAAGCTGCAATCAGACAACAGAATCCTCTAGTCCATACAACTCATACTAAGGCTGGTGATATGACTGCCATGCAGCAGAAAAGTCAGACATGAATAACATCCTGAGAATGTGTCATGTGACAGTTACAGGGCAGCCTCTTTATCAATGTCACTCTGCTTCTTTGCCTATAATAACAATAATAGAAATAGCTAAAATTCACTGAGCTATTATTCAATTATTCAAGGTTAGCTTATTATTAACATTGTTAGCTGTTATGATTATTATTGATCATTAGATATAGAAAGGGACTGGAAATAATAAAGACTAAAAATAAAGACCTGGATGCCCCAAGAAGAGCTCTTATTTTCAGTAAGTCCTAGTTCAGTTCAAAACTGTTGCTCAGTTGTGTGACTCACTGCGAACCCATGGACTACTGCATGGGTAGTACTACATTCCTATCCATCACCAACTACCAGAGCTTGCTGAAACTCATGTACATCAAGTCAGTGATGCCATCCAACCATCTCATCTTCTGTCATCCCCTTCTCCTCTTGCCTTCAATCTTTCCCAGCATCAGGGTTTTTCCAATGAGTCAGTTCTTCCCATGAGGTGGCCAAAGAATTGGAGCTTCAGCTTTAGCATCGTCCTTCCAATGATATTCAGGAATGATTTCCTGTAGAAGTGACTGGTTTGATCACCTTAAGTCCAAGGGACTCTCAAGAGTCTTGTCCAACACCACATTTGAAAAGCATCAATTCTTTGGTGCTCAGCTTTATGGTCCAACTCTCACATCCATACATGACTACTGGAAAAACCATAGCTTTGACTAGATGGATCTTTGTTGGCAAAGTATTAATATGCTGTCTAGGTGGGTCATAGCTTTTCTTCCAAAGGGCAAGTGTCTTTTAATTTCATGGCTGCAGTCACCATCTGCAGAGATTTTGGAGCCCAGAAAAATGAAGTCTGTTACTGTTTCCTCACTTTTTTGCTATGAAGTGATGGGACTGGATGTCATGATCTTCATTTTTTTAATGCTGAGTTTTAAGCCAGCCTTTTCACTTTCCTCTTTCACCTTCATCAAGAGCTTTTTCAGTTCCTCTTTGCTTTCTGCCACAAGCATGGTGTCATCTGCATATCTGAGATGACAGATATTTCTCCTAGTAATCTCAATTCCAGCTTGTGCTGCATCCAGCCCAGCATTTTGTAATGATGCACTATCCATGTAAGTTAAATAAGCAGGGTGACAATGTAAGCAGCCTTCATGTACTCCTTTCCAAACTTGGAACCAGTATGTTTTCCATGCCAGGTTCTAACTGTTGCTTCTTGACCTATACACAGATTTCTCAGGAGGGAGGTAAGGTGGTCTGTTATTCCCATCTATTGAAGAATTTTCCAAAGTTCATTGTGATCCACAGAGTCAAAGGCTTTAGCTTAGTCAATGAAGCAGAAGTAGATGTTTTTCTGGGATTTTCTTGCTTTTTCTATGATCCAACAGATGTTGGCAATTTGATCTCCGGTTCCTCTGCCTTTTCTAAATCCAGCTTGAACATCTGCAAGTTCTTGGTTCATGTACTGTTGAAGCTTAGCTTGGAGAATTTTGAGCATTACTTTGCTAGCATATGAGATGAGTGCAACTGTGCGATAGTTTGAATACTCTTTGACATTTCCTTTTTTGGGATTGGAATGAAAACTGGCCTTTTCCAGTCCTGTGCCACTGCTGAGTTTTACAAATTCAGTGGCATATGGAGGACAGCACTTTCACAGCATCATCTTTTAGGATATGAAATAGCTCAGCTGGAATTCCATCACCTCCACTAGCTTTGTTCATAGTGATGCTTTCTAAGGCCCACTTGAACTCACACTCCAAGATGTCTGGCTCTAGGTGAGTGATCACACAATCATGGTTATCTGGGTCACTAAGAACCGTTTCCTATAGTTCTGTGTATTCTTATCACCCCTTCTTAATATCTTATATTTCTGTTAGATCCATACCATTTCTGTCTTTTATTGTGCCCATCTCTGTATGAAGATGCTTCCCTAACAGTTCAATAGGTAAAGAATCCACCTGCAATGCAGGAGACTCCAGTTAGATTCCTGGGTGGGGAAGACCCGCTGGAGAAGGGATAGGCTACCCACTCCAGTATTCTGGCCTGGAGAATTCCATGGACTGTATAGTCCATAGGGTTGCAAAGAGTTGGACACAACAGAGTGGTTTTCACTTTCACTTTGTGTGAAATGTTCCCCTGTTAACTCTAATATTCCTGAGTCAAATATTCTAAGTCAGAGTTGCATCACTCATCTCCACTAGCTCTATTTGCAGTGATGTGTTTTAAGGCTCAGTGGACTTCCCCAGTCTAGGATGTCTGACTCTAGGTGAGTGATCACACCATTGTGGTTATCTGGGTCATGAAGATCTTTTTTGTATAGTTCTCCTGTGTATTCTTGCCATCTCTTCTTAATATCTTCTGCTTCTGTTAGATCCATACTGCTTCTGTCCTTGATTGTGCCCATCATTGCATGAAACGTTCTGTTATATCTCTAAATTACTTGAAGAGGTCTCTAGTCTTTCCCATTCTATTATTTTCCTCTATTTCTTTGCCTTGATCACCGAGGAAGGCTTTCTTATCTCTTCTTGCTTTTCTTTGAAACTCTGCATTCAAATGGGTATATCTTTCCTTTTCTCCTTTGCCTTTACCTTCTCTTCTTTTCTCAGCTATTTGTAAGGCCTCCTCAGACAAACATTTTGCTTTTTTGCAAAATCAGTGATGGTTTTAATCACTGCCTCCTATACAATGTTATGAACCTCTGTCCATCATTCTTCAGGCACTCTGTCTATCACATCTAATTCCTTGAAACTATTTGTCACTTCCACTGTATAATCATAAGGGATTTGATTTAGCTCATACCTAAATGGTCTAGTGGCTTTCCCTATTTTCTTCAGTTTCAGTCTGAATTTTGCAATAAGGAATTCATGATCTCAGCCACAGACAGCTCCTGGTCCTGTGTTTGCTGACTGTATAGAGTTTCTCCATATTCGGCTGCAAAGAATATAATCAATCTGATTTCGGTGTTGGCCATCTGGTGATATCCATGTGTAGAGTCTTCTCTTATGTTGTTGGAAGAGGGTGTTTTGTATGACCAGTGTGTTCTCTTGACAAAACGGTTAGCCTTTGCTCTACTTCTTTTTGTACTCCAAGGCCAAACTTGCCTGTTACTCCAGATATCTAACTACCTGCTTTTGCATTCCAGTCCCCTATGATGAAAAGGACATCTTTTTTTGATACTAGTTCTAGAAGGTATTGAAGGTCTTCATAGAACTGTTCAACTTCAACTTCTTTGGCATTAGTGGTTGAGGCATAGACTTGGATTACTGTGATACTGAATGGTTTGCCTTGGAAATGAACAGAAATCATTCTGTCATTTTTGAGATTGCATCCAAGTACTGCATTTCAGACTCTTTGGTTGACTATGAGGGCTACTCCATTTCTTCCCCCCAGTAACAGATATAATGGTCATCTGAACTAAATTCACCCATCCTGGTCCATTTTAATTCTCTGATTCCTAAAATGTCCTGCCTTGTCCTGTTTGACCACTTCCCATTTACCTTGATTCATGGACCTAACATTCCAGGTTCCTATGCAATATTGCTCTTTCCAGCATCAGACTTTACTTCCATCACCAGTCACATCCACAGCTGGGTGTTGTTTCTTTGGCTCCCTCTCTTCATTCTTTCTGGAGTTATTTATCCACTGTTCTCCAGTAGCATATTGGGCACTTACTAACCTGGGGAGTTCATCTTTCAGTGTCATATCTTTTTGCCTTTTCATACTGTTCATGAGGTTCTTAAGGCAGGAATACTGAAGTGGTTTGCCATTCCCTTCTCCAGGTAGTTCTAGACCAACTGTCATTTCCATGAAGTTGAGAGAGGGACAGGGAGTGACTACAGTGAAAAAGAACTATGTGGCAAACTCATGTACTTTTACACAGACATTTGAAGCACAAGTTTTGCAAATTTGTCTATATATTTCTTTAAACAAGAATAATTAAAATAGTGATCCCCATGTATACTGATGCCTATGATCTTCAAGAAAAGGTTAAATTTATCTTTACTATGTGTTACTGAAATAAATTACTCATGATAAGTACACTGAAAAATTACAGAAAAATACTTGAAAAACAGATTTATGTCCTTCAAAGAACAAGTTTCAGTTACTACAGACCTTTCCTGATGTGGAATTCAGACAGTATTGACTAAATCAGATAAGAAATAATTGCTTGGGTGAGCAAGCAAGCACCCTATTTTTTCAAGATACATAAAACAGTGTTATGAGGTATTCTTACGTGACTTCCTCATACTACAAAACTCACTAGGAAAAGGTAGCGCTCTTGTGCTGATGTGTTCCGAGCAGCTAGTTTGAGGATCTGTCCGTCTTTTATTAATTCATTTGAAGGATTTACAATGTCTTCTTCTTCTCCCAACATTTCATAAATCTCTAAGAGTTTCTTTAGGTTTTCCTAGGAAATTAAAACAAAACACAGAAAGATCAAATATAAGGAGGTTTCACCTAAATGCCTTTAATCAATGACTGCAGCTAAAATATACACAATTCAGAAAGGATTGGAACTAAGCATAAACTTAAGTATAAAGATCAGTTAAGAGCAAATTAAAACCTGGGAGAAGAGGGAAGAGCATAATCCCAGATAGTCCTAAACATTTTATAAAAAATATTTTTTGTTCACTTGTATCAATTCATTTTGGCCCAAAACTGTAGATAATATTAGATTACATTATTAACAATTATCTAACTAAAAGATTCCCATTTCTTCTAAAAACTACTTACCATTTTTCTTATTGCACTATTAGAATGGCTTGCTGCTGTAGATATAATTTCAAGTGATTCTAAATAGGAAAAAAGAAAAGTAAAGTAAATATATTGTCCTTACTATATTACTAGATAGCTGAGTAATACATAGTTTAATAAGGAATCTGAGAGCAAAGACACACAGTAAAAGCAAGGGCAATTTCCATTTATAAACTGGATACTTCCAAAGTTCATTTGTAAGCAGATGATTTGGAATTTGAAAGGTATTTACTCACAAAAAGTCATATATAGAGACTAGGGAGAAGGCAAAGGCAACCCACTCCAGTATTCTTGCCTGCCCCATGGATGGAGGAACCTGGTAGGCTGCTAAGCTAACCATGGGCTCGCTAAGAATCGGACACGACGGAGCGACTTCACTTTCACTTTTCACTTTCATGCATTGGAGAAGGAAATGGCAACCCACTCCAGTGTTCTTGCCTGGAGAATCCCAGGGACAGGGGAGCCTGGTGGGCTGCCGTCTATGGGGTCGCACTGAGTCAAACAAGACTGAAGCGACTTAGCAGCAGCAGCAGCATAGTGACTAGACTCACAGGTACATTTAATTCATTAGGAATCTTCAAAATAGCAAACATGGTGAAATAGCAATCAGTTTTCTCTGGGAAAACACATTCACAGTTCTAATCTAGGTGAGATAGAACTGTCTGATGCCAATGTCGATGGAAGGTTTTGTTGCTAGGGCAGGTGGTAGTGAGAGATGGGAATGGGGAAGGTAGGATCTTTGATATGGGCAAGGTAGGAGCTTCAGGACTACTGGTGAAGAGAGGTTGAAGGTGGAAGCTGAGGCTTCCTGCTGAGTTAACCTGAGGGATGCTCTCAATCCTCCATTATGTCCTGCTCTCCTCCTTTCTTTTCTATCTTATGAATATTGGTTGGGTTAATTCTGGTATCACAACCACCTCATCATTCTGAAGCAACTTTTCTGTCTTCTTTGTTCTACTGCTGAACAAAATGCACTTTTGCTGCTTTCCCCTCTACTTTTAGGTTTCTAAAAGTATTTTTGTGTTTCGTTAGAATGTTAGTATAAGTAGTAATGGGAAATCAAAGAGTAATAAAATACCCTATTATGTTGCCAACTTTCTCATTTTGGAAAGCGGGGAGGTGGAGTGGGGACCACCAGCCCCTACCCTTCTCACCACACAGTTTTTTTTCCTATTTTAAAAATTTTATTTATTTAATTATTTTTTGGCTGCCCTGGGTCTTTGTTTTGTGTGTAGGCTTTCTCTAGTCCAGCAATCAGGGGCTACTCTTTGTTGTGGTGTATGGGTTTCTCACTTCTGTGGCATCTCTTGTTGTGGAACATAAGCTCTACGGTGCATGGGCTTTAAGTAGTTGTGGCTCACAGCCTCCACAGTTGTGATGCATAGCCTTAGTTGCTCTGCAGCATGTGGAATCCTCCCAGAAAAGAGATTAAAAACTGTATCCCCTGCATTGGCAGGTGAATTCTTAACTACTGGACCATCAGATAATCCCGACTTTCTCACTTTTGATGTAAGTACCTCAACAGAAGTCAAAGTCTTTGAATACAGATGAAAAGGAATTTTTATTTATATCTTAGAGAACTATCCTGATTTGGGCAACTCAGTACATTCCATATAGGATCCAAGGTAGATGGAGACAAGTTAAGATGGGCTGGGGCTACTGCCCAAGAGACTAGTCTGAGAAGTAGCAATAGCAATCTAACTTCCAATCCTACCACTAGTTCTGCTGGTTTTAGTAGCAGTTGTAGTACATGTTGATTACCAACCCAAGTTAAATTTTCATTCTACACAGTTAATTGATTTTTTCAAAAGTACACAAGAAAACAAATATCTTATTGAAACACTTAGGTCCTAAAAAGTCTTTCATTATGACCTAATGAAAAAAAAAGATAATGAGTAGAACATGAATTAAGTTTTCTTAGGGAAAATGCTAACTGACACTAAACAGCATTATTCTCTCTTCTATCTTAGTAAAAGGTAGATAGAAATCACTTTGCTTAGGCTATTTTTAAATAGTAAATGTCATCTTAGTTTTCTTGGTATATATCTACCCCCCTAATTAACCAGCAGCACTAGTAATTCCGAATGGTTTTATTCTTCCTGTGAGAAGGTAATTGTGTATTGCTATTCCAGATGTCTCTAAGACTACAGTTTTATATTTCAGAGTTAATCACTAATGTGAAACCAGCATGAGAAATGTGATTTGCATTGCGCTAAGCCTATGATTTGGGCTAAAAAGTGCTTGCCTAATTGAGGTGTTGATAACAATTTCCAGTGAGGTTATTTTCTGGCACCAATATTTTACAAAGTGGCTTCTACTTCACTTTGAAATCACAAGGCTACTTGGCACATAATGGAAGGGGGGATTTACTTTTAGCATCATTCCAGTCCGGAGAATCAGGGGGCAATTTCCTTAGGTAGTCCTTAAGGAGCATCTCGTACCGGGGAATGCGCTGAACGGGTTCCAGCATGTGATGCTGCAAAGTCAAGCTCCCACAGATCTTCTGTTTCTGTAATGAGAAAGGTTTTTAAAGAAAGATTTAAAAATTAGGTTAGCCAGTCTAAAAACTCAAGGTAAAACAGAACTTTCACGAAGGGCAGCGTTTCTTTACAAAGTGTGGCCTGCCTGACACCTGCCTTAGATACATTCTTGGGATGCTGTTAAAAATGGAAATCCTAAACCCCACTCCAAACTATGAAACCACAGTTTTGAGGCCACAGCCTGGGCATATGTATTTAAGAACATCCCCAATTTTTTCCATTAAATTCTGAGGACCACCAATCTACTCAGAAAAAAAAAAAAAATCAAGCAGAATTTTAAGCAAGAAAATTCCAGATTGACAGCATCTACTTTCACTGGTCATTACAAGAAACCCTTGTTTCACTTGTCAGGTCACACTATCAAATCATAACTCCAGAGATTTTCAAAAGAAGCATCTATTTAAAGAGATTCACTAAGTAACTATATTAAATGACTATGGATTCAGCAGAAACTATCCCATAATAAGGCTACTATAAATGTCATTTCCTTTGAACTGAAAAGACTCCACATGGAGAAGGGTGACAAGATAATAAAATTTTAATTTTTCATTATGTCATGGCATTCTTTTCCATTAGAAACCAAACTCTGAATAGATTTCCTTTGCTCTGGCAAAATTGAGTCTATAGAACATGCTTTCAGTAAGCAATTAATGTGGAAGGGGAGAAAAAAGATTACTTGAAAAATAAGATGTGTTCCTCTTCATATTAAACAAAGCAGAAACCCCTTAATATATTTACTGATGACCATGACCAGGGCACTGCAGGATAAAAAATGTGTCAATATTAAGATAAGACATGATATTTTCATTCAAAGCAAACAAGAAACTAAAATGTAATCTGGTGTAATAATGTCAAGCTGGGTTTAGATTTACTTTATCTAATGCAGGTTTTCAGGCACGGGAGTGATATCATTAGATATGACATCTGTTAAGATTAATCTATTGTAAGGTGGCTTTGGGAACATGTAGGGAAACTAGTTTGAAAGTTACTGTAGACCAAGAAAAAAGTAAAAACAGCCTGAAATTAGCATGGAAGCTGAGAGTGAATGGCTCTCCTTAATAACCTGTAAGATAATTATTATAAGTTTAGTTATCCCATTTGACTTTCTCCAGCAAGTCTAGGGGACACACACACATATACGTGTACACACATATATCTCCAGGAATGTATTACTGATCCCCAAATTTTATGTGAGGAAACTGGTCCAGAAAAGTTAGGGGAGTTTTCTAAGGTCAAGTGACTATAAGTGGCAGACTAGAATCTTAACTAGCTTAGCTGATTCTCAATCTACCACTCCTTTCACAACTCCATACTTTCCTTATAATGAGGAGAAGATAGATATTGCTGATTCAGAGTTTTAATACTTGATGAAACAATAATAATAGTCATTATCACCATCACCATATTGAGCACTTACATGCAACAAGCTCCATGTTAAGTCCCTTGAATATATTGTTTAATGAACACATACAGAGGATGAGGAAAAATGATAAAGCAAAGATAAAGTCCCATGATCAAATTCTGGTGAATAAAAGAATATTGGTGCTATGTAATAAATCAAATCACATAATCACAAAGGTCACTAAGTATAAATGTTATGTGGAAAAAATGTTTGAAAGCTAAAGACGGGAATTGAACATGTTGACTTTGTATTGATGACAAGATGCTCATATAGAATTGTGAAGCCAGCACTCAGAATTTTGTAACTAGAGTATAGGCATGAAGGACTAAATTAGAAATAATGACCCTTTAGGCAGATAGTGATTTAACTGCAGAGTACGTTATGCAAAATGCCAGGCTGGATGAAGCACAAATTGGAATCAAGATTTCCAGGAGAAACATCAATCACCTCAGATATGCAGACAACCTCACCTTTATGGCAGAAAACAAGGAGGAACTAAAGAGACTCTCGATTAAAGTGAAAGAAGACAGTGAAAAGGCTGGCTTAAAATTCAAAACTCAAAAAATTAAGATCATGGCATCTGGTCTCATCACTTCATGGCAAATAGATGAGGAAACAGCGGAAACAGTGACAGACTTAATCTTCTTTGGGCTCCAAAATCTCTGCAGATGGTGACTGCAATCATGAAATTAAAAGACGTCTGCTCCTTAGAAGAAAAGCTATGACCAACCTACACAGCATATTAAAAAGCTGAGACATTACTTTGCCGACAAAGGTTCATCCGTCTACTCAAAGCTACGGTTTTTCCAGTAGTCATGCATGGATGTGAGAGTTGGACCATAAGGAAAGCTGAGCACGAAAGAATTGATGCTTTTGACCTATGGTGTTGGAGAAGAGTCTTGAGAGTCCCTTGAACTGCAAGGAGATCCAACCAGTCAATCCTAAAGAAACTCAACCCAGAATATTCATTGGAAGGACTGATGCTGAAGCTGAACCTCCAATACTTTGGCCACCTGATGGGAAGAACTGACTCAATGGAAAAGACCCTGATGCTTGGGAAAATTAAAGGCAGGAGGAAAAAGGGATGACAAAGGATGAGATGGTTGGATGGTATTACTTGGACATGAGTTTGAGCAAGCTCCGGGAGTTGGTGATAGACAGGGAAGCCTGGCATGCTGCAGTCCATGGTGTTGCAAAGAGTCAGACACAACTGAGAGAATGAACTGAACTGACCCTAGAAGCATCTGTATGACATTATGGTTAAAGGCTTGAGAAGCTATGACGTCACTGAGAGAGTGGAAAGAAAGATTATGCAGGGCAAAAACCCTCATATTCTGCCCACATTTCAATATAAGCAAAAGGAGCTAGTGAAAGGATCAAAGAAAGATCCAGTGTTCAGAGAGATAGGTGACTGCTTAATCATGAGAGAAAAGAGACATTAAAGAAAAGGGCAGGACTTTTGGCTACAACTGAATAATAAGAATGCTGGCAAAATCACCCCTTTAAAAAGCAACTTTAAAGCTGGATAAAACTTAACAACAACAATCATTTCAGTACTTTGGAAACTGACCAAAAGCATGTAACGATCTGAAAATTTTTTGTTTTTGTTTTTTAAACTGCTGAACTTTGGGTAAGAACAGTAAGAATCTGTGGCCTTCTGGCCTGCGTGTGTTAGTCACTCAGTCATGTCCAACTGGTTGCAACCTCATGGACTGTAGACCTCCAGGCTCTTTCATCCATGGAATTTTTCCAGGCAAGAATACTGGAGTGGGTTGCCATTTCTTTCTCCAGGAGATCTTACCAACCCAGGAATCAAACCAGGGTCTCCCATATTGCAGGCAGACTCTTCTGTCTGAGCCACCAGGGAAGCTCTGACCTGAGCTTTTGGGCCTGAGGCTGCACCTACTCCTCCACCAGTTCAGTCAATGTGAAGATTCTGACCGAGGCTTCTGGCCTGAGGCTGCACCTATTCTATCAGCTCAGTCAGTGAAGATTTTCCCAGGGTGGGACAGGCTGTGAGGACTGGCAGTTTCTCTGCTGAAACTGAAGAGGGCTCATTTGATTTAGCGTGATAAACACAGCACACACCCAGCAATACTGTCAGTGAACAGGATGAAAAGGCAAGAAGATAGGACACTGAAAGAGGAACTCCCCAGGCCGGTAGGTGCCCAATACGCTACTGGAGATCAGTGGAGAAATAACTCCAGAAAGAATGAAGAGATGGAGCCAAAGCAAAAACAACACCCAGCGTGGATGTGACTGGTGAAAGAAGCAAAGGCTGATGCTGTAAAGAGCAATACTGCATAGGAACCTGGAATATTAGGTCCATGAATCAAGGTAAATTGGAAGTGGTCAAGCAGGAGATGGCAAGAGTGAACATCAACATTGTAGGAATCAGCAAGATGGCAAGAGTGAACATCGACACTTTAGGAATCAGCAAACTAAAATGGACTGGAATGGGTGAATTTAACTCAGATGACCATTACATCTACTACTGTGGGCAAGAATCCCTTAGAAGAAATGGAGTAGCCCTCATAATCAACAAGAGAGTCTGAAATGCAATACTTGGATGCAGTCTCAAAAATGACAGAATGATCTCTGTTTGTTTCCAAGGCAAACCATTCAATATCACAGTAATACAAGTCTATGCCCTGACCACTAATGCTGAAGAAGCTGAAGTTGAACAGTTCTATGAAGACCTATAAGACCTTCTAGAACTAACACCCAAAAAAGATGTCCTTTTCATTACAGGGGACTGGAATACAAAAGTAGGGAATCGAGAGATACCTGGAGTAACAGGCAAATTTGGCCTTGGAGTACAGAATGATGCAGGGCAAAGACTCATAGAGTTCTGCCAAGAGAACGCACTAGCCATAGCAAACACCCTCTTCCAACAACACAAGAGATGAGTCTACACATGGACATCATCACCAAATGGCCAACACCGAAATCAGACTGATTATATTCCTTGCAGCCAAAGATGGAGAAGCTCTATACAGTCAGCAAAAACAAGACTGGGAGCTGACTGTGGCTCAGATCATGAACTTCTTATTGCCAAATTCAGACTGAAATTGAAGAAAGTGGNCATTCCAATCCCAAAGAAAGGAAATGTCAAAGAATGCTCAAACTACCACATAATTGCACTCATCTCACACGCTAGTAAAGTGATGCTCAAAATTCTCCAAGCCAGGCTTCAACAGTACATGAACAATGAACTTCCAGATGTTCAAGCTGGATTTAGAAAAGACAGAGGAACCAGAAATCAGATTGCCAACATCTGCTGGATCATCAAAAAAGCAAGAGAATTCCAGAAAAACATCTATTTCTGCTTTATTGCCTATGTCAAAGCCTTTGACTGTGTGGATCACAATAAAATGTGGAAAATTCTGAAAGAGATGGGAATATCAGACCACCTGACCTGCCTCTTGAGAAATCTGTATGCAGGTCAGAAAGCAACAGTTAGAACTGGACATGGAACAGACTGGTTCCAAGTTTGGAAAGGAGTATGTCAAGGCTGTATATTGTCACCCAGCTTATTTATCTTATATGCAGAGAACATCATGAGAAATGTTGGGCTGGAAGAAGCACAAGCTAGAATCAAGATTGCCAGGAGAAAAATCAGTCACCTCAGATATGCAGATGACACCTAAAGAGCCTCTTGATGAAATTGAAACAGGACAGTGAAAAAGCTGGCTTAAAACTCAACATTCAGAAAACTAAGATCATGGCATCTGGTCCCATCACTTCAGGGCAAATAGATGGTTAAACAGTGACAGACTTTATTTATTTGGGCGGCTCCAAAATCACTGCAGATGATGACTACAGCCATGGAATTAAAAGCTGCTTATTCCTTGGGAGAAAAGCTATGACCAACCTAGACAGCATATTAAAAAGCAGATACATTACTTTGCCAACAAAGTCTGTCTAGTCAAAGCTATGGGTTTTCCAGTAGTCATGTATGGATTGTAAGAGTTGGACTATAAAGAAAGCTGAGCACTGAAGAATTGATGCTTTCGAACTGTGGTGTTGGAGAAGACTCTTTAGAGTCCCTTGGACTGCAAGGAGATTCAACCAGTCCATCCTAAAGGAGATCAGTCCTGAATTTTCATTGGAAGGAATGATGCTGAAGCTGAAACTCCAATACTTTGGCCACCTCATGTGAAGAGTTGATTCATTGGAAAAGACCCTGATGCTGGGAAAGATTGAGGGCAGGAGGAGAAGGGGACGACAGAGGATGAGATGGTTGGATGCATCACCAACTCAATGGACATGAGTTTGGGTAAACTCTGAGAGTTGGTGATGGACAGGGAAGCCAGGCGTGCTGTAGTCCACGCAGTTGCAAAGAGGCAGACATGACTGAACTGAACTGATTCTGATATTTCATTGTCAGTGTAAAGAAGTGGAACAGATTTTTGCATGTTAATCTTGTATCTTGTTATGTTGCTGAATTTGTTTATCAGTCCTAGTAATTTCTGTGTGGAGTCTTTACAGTTTTCTATATATAGTATCATGTCATATGTTTACAATGACAATTTTACTTCTTCTTCCAATTTGGATAACTTTTCTGTTTCTTCTCTGATTGCTGTGGCTAAGACTTCCATTATTATGTTGAAGAGAAGTGCTGAGAGTGGGCATCACTGTCTTGTTCCAGATTTTAGCAGGAAGGTTTTCAAGCTTTTCCCTGTTAAGTACTATGCTGGTTGAGGTTTGTCATAACTTTTAAGTTGAGATATGTTCCCTCAAAGGGCTTCCCTATTAGCTCAGTTGGTAAAGAATCTGCCTACAATGAAGGAGACACCGGTTTGATTCCTGGGCTGGGAAGATTTGCTGGAGAAGGGATGGGCTACCCAGTCCAGTATTCCTGGCCTTCCCTTGTGGCTCAGCTGGTAAAGAATTCACCTGCAATGAGGCAGATCTGGGTTCGATCCGTGGGTTAGCAAGATCCCCCGGAGAAGGGAAAGGCTACCCATTCCAGTATACTGGCCTGGAGAATCCCATGGACTATATAGCTCATGGGGCCACAAAGAGTCGGACATCCCCGAGCAACTTTCACTTTCACTTCATGTTCCCTCAATACCCATTTTGGTAAGAGTTGGTATCATGAATGGATGTTGCATTTTATCAAATGCTTTTTCTGCATCTATTGAGATTATCATGTGGTTTCTGTTTTTCCTTTTCTTAATATTGTATATCACATTGATTTGTATATAGATACTTTTAATATTCTAACTTCTTTAAGATGTAAAATTATACAAAACAGTAATCATATCACTGTATTAATGGGTTTTAAACACAGGTAAAATATATCCATGTAAGACAAAAGAAGGCAGTCAAGAATACACACCCAAATAATCTTAGATGATCTAAGAAATCCTTTTCAATATTTAAACTTAAGCAAAGAAGTTATCAACAGTCTTGACTAAAGAATCAAATAGAAAGTATTATGGTATTATTAAAATGTATTATTCAGGTTTGATGAAATTTTAAGCCACATATATGAAATGACCAATTCCCCCCTCCCTCAAGTAACGAAACAGAATATAGTTGATCCTTGCATATGGGTTTGTACTGTGCAGGTCCACTTATACACACATTGTTGTTTTTGTCCCCCCCAGTAAATATGTACTACAGTACTATATAATCCATGGTTGGTTGAATCCATGGATGCATAACCATGGATATGAAGGGCTGGCCATAAAACTATACTGGGATTTTCAAACAGTGGGGGATCAGTGATCCTAACCCCTGTGTTGTCCAAGGGTTAGCTGTAATTATGTTTCCAAAATGTCATGGTGTATAGTATTCTTTATATTAATTCCAACATCTCAGCCTCTGAAAGCAAGCAAGAGACACACAGAGCTGGGTGGAAACTTACTTTGTAAATTTATGTGGACCCTGATAAAATCAGAGTCTCCCTGCCTTAAAAATAAGTGGAGAATTTACTGTTCAGTATATAGCATGAGCCCAATAAATATTTTAACTTTGCAGAGATAATTTTTGCATAATTTAGAACAGAATTTGGCTAGGAGCCTCAATCTAAAATTTAGATCTAGAAAACTTTAGGATTTGTACAGAAAAATTAGTAACCTTGAACAAAAGAGTTCTATTTACCTGAATTTCTTCAACTACTGATTTGAACTGGGGAATACGCTCTGTCATGTTTTTAACCAATTCCATTGCGTTATCAAATCCCTTCACATATTCTCCATACATCTTAAGGAATGGTGCCAATTTCTGAAGGATGTCACCAATTCTAGGGGTAGTTTCCCTGTATAAAACATAAAAGCAAGTTATTAAGATTTCTTATAGAATGACTGAATTAAAAGGACTCCAAATGAAGTAATCACTTTCTTTCATTTATCTTTATTAGCTGGAGGCTAATTGAAGTAATCACTTTTTATACACACATCCTGTGCTTTTATCAGATCCATGTTGCTGTGAAACTGACAGAATGAAAAAAGCACTTTTTAAAAAAGTTAGGAATGACACAGTAAACAGAGATGCTATGGAATTCTTGACGTTCCAGATAATCCCTAATACCTTGTTTCCACTAATCAAACTATAGCTTGGAAAGAAGAGCTAAAATGTTTTCAACTAAAGCCAAAAAATGTACTACAAGGTCTTTCAGCGATCTTTAAGATAAAAATTTTGCATAAATGTTGCCTTAGATATATTATTTGTTATCTACTCCTCTTACCATTCTTGCATTCTTTTCTCCAGCTCTGGCAATAGGAATTTACTATGGAAGGCATTTATTGATGAAATATTAGAAAAGATTTTATTCACCAGCTCTGCTGAAAATGAACCTCGATTTGCTTCTTCCAATAGTTTGCAATAAAATACCTGAATAAGAGAATAAAGCAAATATTACTTCAAATTTACTGGTTAACCATCTAGCACTGTGCTAAGGCACACAGTGGGCTCTTAATAACTTTTTGTTGAATAAATGTAAAAGTTCATGATTCAAGAAATCAATCACTTTTGAAATGTAGAAATGAGCATATGCTTTGATAGAGAAAGACCAGGAATTAGAATTAGGAAACTGATTCTAACCTAGGCTGTGCCTCTATCTACTAATCTTTTCTGTTCCAGAGAAATTTCCAGTCGAGGCTAATGGTGAAACAGGAAGAAAGGGGCTGGGAACAACTTCTGAAAGAATGACAAAGCCCAAGAACACAACATAAACCAATTAGAATCAAATGGGTCCAAGATGACAGACAAGCCAACTTCGACTAGGCTTTGATCCTCAATCAGCAAGCTAAATGACACACTCAGAGGCGCCATGACAGTCCCAAGGCACTATCAAAAGACCAGAAAGTGGGTGGTGGCCCACTTCCTAGAAATTTCCACCCCTTCCCCAAAATAGTTGGAATAATCTTTCCACTCTTTAGCCTATGAAATTACCCAGCCCATAAAAACTGATTATGGCGCATTTTTTGGGCCACAACACTCGCCTTCTGTGATGGCCCACACTCTTGTCTGTGGAGTGTGTTTCTCTCTGAATAAATCCACTTTTTATCTATCACTTTGTCGCTCACTGAATTCTTTCTGTGATGAGACATCGAGGACCTGAGCTTCATTATTGTAGGTTTCAGGTGAATGTCAAGTCTCAGCCATGGGGGTTAGAGTCCTAAGCAGAGTTTTGGCCAGGCTTGAGTCCTGGAACATGGGTTGAAGTTCGAATCTGAGAAAAATGGTTTCAATAGGATTTACCCTTCCTATCCATAGGCAGAGTTAAGAGATGTGGAAAATTATATATATGCACAATAATTGTATTTTCCACTCCTCTTTATATTTTTTGAATGACTTTTATGTATTACATGTTGCCCTTTATTATAATTTATTGGCATAAATCTCATCTTCCGTATTTAAACTGTACACTCCTTGGGGACAGAGAACACTGTGAATTAGTTCTCATAGCATGACAGGCACTTAATAAAAAGGCAGTCAACATACGAACAAAAAAGTATTTTGGTTCTCAGATGTTTTCCTGCTTTACAAAGTAATAATGTATGGTAACTTAAAACTCAGAAATGAGCATTAAAAAATCTTCTCTTGTACATAATAACAGGTATTTTAAAGACAGTAAAAATAGTTTTGCAGTCTTAGCTCTACTCCAGTAGGGCTACTATACCTCTTAATTGCCATTCTGTTAAATGTAGGCAGAAGGAAGTCTGTTCTTTCATAATGTCCAGATGGTTGTTTATTTTCTAAATTCACCTCTATTGCATTTTCTTGGGAGGCAAAAAGAATACAAAATTATGTCCTTAGAGACTCCAATAGGATATTTTACCAATTAAGACTCTAAATTCTAAAAGGTCAGCCAATGTCACTAACAAGATACTATGGCTGGAAAAAAGAAAGAAAAAAAAGTGCAACCTGATAAGAGGAAAAGGCACATTTCCATTAGAAGAATATCTACAAGTTTCAGGTTTGTAATCTCCATTAGAAGGGACATTATTTCAAAGGTACAAATCAACATAAATTGATTGACTTATGGCGAAATTCCTTGGAAAGTATTTGAGTCACAAACTCATTACTTTGGAGAACACAAGTCTTAATCAGGCCCCTTCAGGCTCACCCTAACAGGCAACATAGCTTAGTCCAGGGACTCCTGATGAGGAGGCACGCCCAGGATGATCTGCTTCCACAAAGTTCCATTTTCCAATTGCCATAGTGGGACAAGCCTTCTTGAAAGTGACACTCAAACATAATACTCATTTTCTCTTCTAATAAGAGGAGTCTATATCAGCAATCTACCAATTATCTTGATCTTTTATCAATGTAACAGGATTAAGGGGCCATTGTTTTGACCAGTTATTCTTAATGATGCATTTTAAAACTTTTTTCATGAATGTATACTTGAGATGATTCACAAGCCTCTACCATGATAAAAGTACAAAATGTTATTCACATATTCAACAACTGTTAACACCAGGCGCTGTTTTTAACTTTTCATGCAAGGCTGAACAAGTGAAATCTCAAATTTCCATCTGGTCCTATGACTGTAGGCAATTCCAATCACTCTCAATGGCTGAACAGTAAGTGAGACAAGAATCAGATGTATTCATGCCAGCACCAGAATCTCCTATTTAGTAACATGGTCTTCAGGATCACAATAAAGGGTGAAGAAACAGAGTAGGGTTTAGGGTTGAAGACACAGATAAAGACATTTTGTGACCCATAAGAGAGTCTTTCAATCTGTTTTCTATGAATTATGAAACCTTTATACCTAATTAATTCACTGACAAAGTTGAAAATGTTAGCGATTTCCTTGAGGAAACAGCCAGAAATAGGCAAGTCCTTCTTGCAGTTTCTAAAACACTTTAATTACTAAGTTAAAGTGATGTATAATGACAAAAATAAAGTAATTCTGAAAGAGAAAATATTACCTGATCTAAGAGATCAAGTCGGCTGACATAAGCTCTTTCTGTAAGCAAAAGTTCATTGGCTATTTTGTGAAGTTTTTGCTCATCAGTCTCCTAAAAACAGAAGAGAAATTCACATATTAGTAAAGAAAGCTTGGATGGTATTTCTAAAGTAATAAACATTATTAAATGGTTTCATCAAAAGTTTTCTTAAACTTCTCACATACCCAATTTCTTAAAGTCATCAAGGAACATCCAACCAAAAATGAACAAAACTAGACATCAGTGATCTGCTAGATTTAACCTATGACAACTTCTTTAGGTTATAACGTCTCTGATCTCTGTATCAATTAACAGTATCATCCATCTGTTCCCTGAAACATCTTTTATTTTTTTTATTTCCCAGGTACTACACTTTCCTCATCTCCCCTCTACCTCTTTCAGGCTACTCTTTGCACATGGTTGAATCACTTTATTAGCTCTATGCACAGAACTTTTTAGCTTAAAATTTTTTAATTATAGAAAATTTCAATCTTATATAGAACTAGAAAAAACAGTAAAGCAAATTCCCATGTGTCCATCTCCAAGATCCAACATCAGCTCATTGTTAACGGTCTTTCACCTATGCTGCTACCCGTCTCCCCTCTACCTATGTTATTTTAAATTAAATCCAGACTTTATTATTTCCTCAGTTTACATCTATTTAACTCCTAAATATCTTTGTATAGCCTTACTAGTGCCATGAGGATAGGAACATTTTTCCCTTGTTAACTGATCCATCTCTTGTGTCTACTACAGTGTTTCAATAAAAACACTGGCATTCAATAAAATATCACTGAACGAATGATGAACAGCAGTCGCAGATGCCTAAATATTGCTGGACATTTATTATTGCTTTGACATGTTGTAAATCTAAGACCTCATTACCTTTTCTGTAAAATCTCCATCCTACCACCATCCTTGGACCTTACCAACCCAGCAGCGGTTCTATCCCTTTCTAGTCAGCTGACTTAAATTACTTTATGCTTAGTTCCCTATCACAAAATCCAGTCAGCCACCAACTCCTACTCATAATATTCTGTCTTTAGCATCATCTTTTAAGTTCTCATCACTAGTACCCTGTTTGCTCATACCTTATCTCAAGCCCAGGCCAATCAACAGTTGTCGAATTATTTGATTCCATTATTTTGGTGGCTCTAACCCACCTTGAGGGCTTCCCTGGTGGCTCAGAGGTTAAAGCATCTGTCTGCAAAGCAGGAGACCTGGGTTCAATCCCTGGGTCGGGAAGATCCCCTGGAGAAGGAAATGGCAACCCACTCCAGTATTCTTGCCTGGAGAATCCCATGGACGGAGAAGCCTGGTAGGCTACAGTCAATGGGGTCGCAAAGAGTCGGACACGACTGAGCAACTTCACTTTCACTTAACCCACCTTGAATATTACTGTATAAGGAATCCTTCTAAAACTCTGCTCTGCTCCCCTAATTCTAATTCTAATAGGAAAGGGATAAAAAGTCTCCAACAGTCCTTTTCTCACTAACAGGATAAAATCTAGGCTCTGTGTACCATTCAGAGTTGTTTCTACCTAGTTACTTTTCTGAAATACTCTTTTCATTCTAGGAGAGTATGAATATAATGAGTTTAGTAAAAACTTTAATACCAAAGCAGACCAAAGTATACTTTAAGCCAGTGTCTAATGTGTGTAAAGGCTACATTTTGAACTCTGTATAAAATGCTATGAAGTTGTGTAAATATTTCATGGTATTAAACATATATGACATCTACTTTATGCTTTATATGCAATGTATATTCTAATGTGAAAAGTTACCATGTTGCTTCTTACATTACCACTGAATTGAGATATTTTTATGTGAGTCTTTAGGATAAAGTAACATAATGCTGTTTAAATAATTTGTGGTCTCAGAAACACTGAAATAGGAACTACATAGCAATCAAATTCCACAATTAGTCAAAATTTTGGTTTAACTTAATAAATTCAGAGTAAAGTACTAGCATTGTTGCTTGCCTGCCTGGCATCCCTCCCTTCCCCTTATCTCTTAATGGTATCCAGATTTGGTTGGTGCGTCTATCCCAGTACTGTAATCTCTCCTTTGCGGAAACTGACCTTATCCACAGATGAAAAGGGAGCCCTGAATGGTGTCACTATCAAGGGTATACAGCAATTGGTTTAGGAGCCAACGTGACATGAGACAATATGCAATGGCAGCTTTGGAAAAGAAGGCTCCTTACCCTTAACGAAGAAACAAAGAAAAAGAGATCTGTTTGCTGCTCTATGTAGATGAGGGCATGTGCAGGCCTAAGTGCTAAAAAGCAGTCATCTCATAACCACAGAAATGAAGCCAATAAACTTCCTTATTATTTAAGGAGTTTGAGAAAAACATCTACTTCTGCCTTATTGACTATGCCAAAACCTTTCTCTGTGTGGATCACAACAAACTGTGGAAAATTTTTAAAAAGATGGGAATATCAGACCACCTGACCTGCCTCCTGAGAAATCTGTATGCAGGTCAAGAAAAGCAACAGTTAGAACTGACATGGAACAATGGACTGGTTTCAAACTGGGAAAGGAGTATGTCAAATCTGTATACTGTCACCTTGCTTATTTAAATTATATGCAGAGTACATCATGAGAAATGCCAGGGTGGATGAAGCACAAGCTGGAATCACAATTGCCAGGGAAATATCAATAACTTCAGATATGCAGATGATACCACCCTTATGGCAGAAAGAGAAGAGGAACTAAAGAGTCTCTTGATGAAAGTGAAACAGGAGAGTGAAAAAGCTGGCTTAGAACTCAACATTCATTGCTTCTTGGCCTTTTGGCTAAGATCAAGTGTAGAATTCAACATTAAAAAAACTAAGATCATGGCATCCGGTCCCATCAATTCATGGCAAACACATGGGGAAACAATGCAAACAGTGACAGACTTTATTTTCTTGGACTCCAAAATCACTGAAAATGGTGACTGCAACCATTAAATTAAAAGACACTTGCTCCTTGGAAGAAAAGCTATGACAAATTAAAAATCAGACATTACTTAGCCAACAAAGGTCCATCTAGTCAAAGCTATGGTTTTTCCAGTAGTCATGTAGGATGTGACAGCTGCACTATAAAGAAAGCTGAAGAATTGATGCTTTTGCACTGTGGTGTTGGAGAAGACTCCTGAGAGTCCCTTGGACAGCAAGGAGATCCACCCAGTTCACTCTAAAGGAAATCAGTCCTGAATATTCATTGGAAGGACTGATGCTGAAGCTGAAGCTCCAATACTTTGGCCACCTGATGAGAAGAAATGACTCACTGGAAAAGACCCTGATGCTGGGAAAGATTGAAGGCATGAGAAGGGGATGACAGAGGATGAGATGGTTAGATGGCATCACTGACTCAATGGACATGAATTTGAGCAAGCTCTGGGAGTTGGTGATGGACAGGGAAGCCTGGCATGCTGCAGTCCATGAGGTCACAAAGAGTTGGACACAACTGAGTGACTGAACTGACTGACTGATGAGTAGTACTGCTGTTACTGGTAGCATCCTGATCAATGTAAAAAACTTAAAATACTAAAAAACATATGCAGTGTATTCCATGAAACAAACTTTCAAGGAACTTTTAGATGATCATTATTTATATAAAAGAAAATAAAATACCTAATGAACTAAAAATGTTACTTACAAAGCTATAAGTATAATAAGTAAATACATAAGAAATCTACTGATTCAGAATAGGTTATATCTTGTTTCACATACAGGAAATACTGACCTGCATGAACACTACAGCTATTTGTTTCAGGTTTTAAGCCAGATTTACTGGTATAAAATTACAAATAAGTGAATAGTTCTAGGAGTTTTGACAAAGGCTTACAATCATGTTATTACCACCACAATCAAGATAGGTAACATTTCTATCAAAACTCTTCTTAGGTATCTGTAGTCAATCACATTCCTCTCTTCTACCACTAACTCCTAGTAATGCTGATCTGATTTGTTCCAGAAAGACATGTAAATGGAATCACAAAGTATGTATGTGTCTTTTGCGTCTTGCTTCTTTTGCTTATCAAAAAAGCATCTGAGATACATCCAAGCTGTTATTAGTATTAGCAGTCCATTCTTTTCTAGCCCTTCATTTTATTCTTATAGTGGTGATATCTCTTTGACACACCATGTTCTTTTCTATCTTCTAATGCTAAGATTTCTAACAGAAATCTTCAAAGAAAACAACCCAGCAGAATTTGTACTATGATAAAATAATACATTTTATGAGTCAGAAAATTCACTAAACAACAGATTATACTGTCTACTACTGCTATGCGATGAGGTCACCCCTGAGGAAGAAGAGGAAGTGGAATAGGAAGCTTATAAGAAAAAGTCTTTTGTTGACTGCAAATTATACTTTAGCTGATTGTGGCAAATTGTGGGTATTCTGGTCATATTTTGCAAAATCCAAGGGAATGCCAGCAGTTATTTATAAAAACTATACTCCTTCCACACAGATGGTCTTCTAACATTAGGTCCCTGACCTTGCCAAAGCCAACACAAAGATAAGCAAAAGTAAACTTGCTAACAAATGGTTTAATCACTCATATATAAGGTTTGTGAAAGGTTACAAGGGACTTTATGGTGAAAGTGAGGACATCACAGAGTTATGAAGAATTTTTTTAGGTTAATCACAATAATAATGTTGATAATATCACCATAATAAGAATAGCTAACAATTATTCACTTATTGTTATGTGTGAGATTCCCTGGTAGATGGTAAAGAATCTGCCTGCAATGTGGGAGAACCCAGGTTTGATCCCTGGGTTGGGAAGATCCCCTGGAATAGGAAATGGGGCAGACTGTTACAAGCATTTTACACAGACTGACTGGTCCTTACAACAAGTCTATAAAATGGGTGCCAATATTATCCCTATTTTATATGTAGTATACATATACAACAAAATTCCAGAGCTAAAAAAAAAAACAAGACTCAAAGAGGCCAGGAAACTCGCCCAAGGTTACACAGGACTAAATCAGATTTTATTTATATAGCAGAGTATGTGATTTTAGTAACTATTAGTAAATGGTTGGCTTTCACTCTAATTTTCTTTGCAATAAAAACT